CTAATTTAAATTGGCAAAAAATTATGGTTGAAAATACTATGCTCGACAGGAAATTTAATTACTGTCTCGATATATATTCTACATAAAAAATTTGAAAGCATTGACAATTTTACATTGTATTGCCAACATAATGTCATTTTGACTTTTATCTTTGAAAAAAAAAACAAAGTTTATATCTTTTTCATATAGTAGGATTGGTAGAATGTATGAAATATTTGATATGACTGTTCCTGAGACAATTTTTAGGGTCAATAAATATCCGCCATGGTTCAACAGGGAGATAATCTGTGATATTAAAGCCAAAAATAGAAATAGGCGGCTATTTTTGAAAACAGGTATTATAAGTTGTCAGACTGATTATAATAATATAAGAGATGCTCTGGAAGTAAAGATTGAACAGGCCAAGCAAGTTTACATTAACGAGTTGGAGAGAAGGTTAATACAGAACAATTCAAACTTTTTCAAATTTATCAACAGGAAAAGAAACTGCTCACGTATACCAGGCAACATAGTGTAAAACGGCAGCCCTGTCAATAACTCAAATATTGCTGACATGTTTGCTATTTTTTTTCAAAAGTGTATATGCACCAGCCGACAGCGATGAGAGCATTGAAACACTCTGTATGACTCACTTGTTAGATTCCGGACTTGGAGTAAGTGAACAAGAAGTCATGAATGCTTTCAATAATTTAAGATTAAAATAACGCTGTGTCTAGCCTCCCGGCACCGGTATTCATACGAATCCCGGCTATGGCGCATTTAAATGACGTCATCAACAACCACCGGTAACTGTCGTGGATCCCGGCTAGTGCTATACAAGATGTTAATGTTAATAATTATTATGTTCATTGGTATTGGGGCAGATTTATTATGAAGAGTAAAAAAAGTAAACAAAGATGAGCTTTTATTAACAGTTGTGTTTTTTGCATGACCTCAGTATACAATATCAAAGTGAAGAAATTTCTCAAATGTATATAGAACTTAGGAGAAGATACAAAGCCGAAATACGGACAGCAAAGCTTCAATCTAACAAGAATTACATTCAGACATCTGGTAATCCGTCACGTGCTGTCTGGGAGATTATAAATTGCAAACGGGGTATTACAAAAAATAAGAAAAGTTCTGAAAATCATACAATCTCTCCAGATAACTTTAATCAGTATTTTGCAGAAATTGCAAATAATCTAGTAAAAGATATTCCACCAATCAACTTACGTCTTCCTGATATGAAGTTGACCACCACAGGAAATAACTTTTCTTTTTCTCCAGTAACTTTCAACCAAGTTAGAGACGTCATCAGTAACTTGAAAAATAAAAATAGCCGTGACCTTTATGGACTGAATGTAAAACTAATTAAATCTGTAAAAAATATTATAATAAGCCCTCTTACTAAACTGATAAACTTATGCTTTCAAGAAAATACATTCCCTCAAGTTCTTAAAAGAGCTGTTGTAACCCCCATTTTTAAAAAAGGTAACTCTCAACTACCTGAAAACTATAGACCAATTTCACTACTGCCAATAATTTCAAAGGTAGTTGAAAGATGTATGTCTCTACAAGTGGTTGATTTCTTCGAAAATAATAACTACTTTTCGAAAAGCCAATTTGGCTTTAGGGAAGGCAAGAATACAGTGCTGGCCATCCTGGACCTGGTCTCATATATAATAGATTCATTTCATAATCTTGAGTTCACCTCAGTCTTGCTATGTGACCTTAGCAAGGCCTTTGACTGTGTCGACCACAGCATCCTCTTGCAAAAATTTAAAAACTATAACTTCTGCCCAGAAAGTATCAACTTAATTCAATCCTATCTTACAGGCAGAGTGCAGGTAGTGAGAATCTCTGGGGTGGACTCATCGGAACGAGTAATGAACATCGGTGTCCCGCAGGGGTCAGTGCTGGGTCCGATACTGTTTCTAGTGTATATTAATGATCTACCAGCCATTGACAACAAAGCCAAGTACACACTATTCGCTGACGATACAACACTGTCTTTCTCTGCGGGCGCTCTTGATAGGGCTTTGGAGGTTTCCAGGGAGGCACGGGAAGGAGCCGAGGAGTGGTTTAGAATGAATAAACTGCTGCTTAATACTGGAAAAACACAACAAATTGTATTCTCAATGAGAGATAATGGGGACATAAATCAGACAGGCAGTGTTGGATTTCTAGGAGTTCAGCTTGATCCAAAACTACAGTGGGGACCCCACATCAATGAGCTATGCAGTAAGCTAAGTAGAGGCATCTTCGTTCTGCGAAACCTCAAAAACTGTGTCACTCAAGACATAATGCGAATAGCATACTTCTCTATCTTTCACTCGCATCTTTCTTATGCTACTCTTGTGTGGGGCCATGCTGCTGACACCAGTCGAGCCTTTAGTCTACAGCGGAGGGCAGTAAGAATCCTAGCTGGACTTCGTTTCAGAGATGAGTGTAAACATGCTTTTAAGACACTCGGAATTCTAACTTTGCCATCTCAGTACATTCTTGAGAATCTCTTGTATATTAAACAAAGACTGGATTCCTTTGAGTGCCACAAAGACAAGCATGACTACAATACTAGATATAAAGATAACCTCGTTCCTGCCTATTGGAGGTTAAAGAGGTGTCACACTGGACCTGGTTACTGGGCAATAAAATTTTTTAATGTGTTACCTGATGACATAAAAATCTTAGATTATAAAAATTTTAAAAATAGGATTAAGGAAATTTTAATAAGTAATGCCTTTTACAATTTTGAAGAATTTATTTCTCAAGTTTTTTAACTAGTGTCTGTTTTGTATATTAGATTGTAGGATTACTATATATTCATGTAAACATTGTATTTTGCCTGTCTTAATGTATCATTTTACTACTTTGTCGACGATTGTAAACATACTGAATATGTAAAACATGAATAATGGAAAATAAAATTATGACTTTATTATGATATGTAGGTACAGGGTCATTTTGAAAGTTTGTTCAGCATTTGATCTTTTTACAGCAACGCCGTTAATGTTCAGCAACATTACACAGGGTGCCCCAAAATTAGAGGTTATTATTTTAACTGCGGATTCTACATCCCAAATTAAGAGCAAACATTCTTATAAACATGGGTCCAAGAGTACCCTATTTCAGAGATACAGGCTGTTAAAAAAGCTATAGTCCTGAATAATGAATGAAAATAAACCATGCTATTCCCTTTTTAAACCACTACTACGAAAAGTGGATTAAAGAAGTACTTACCACTCTAATACCAATATCACAACAAGAAACAATAATACACAAAAGCTATTCTGGAATTAATCACAGCTTCATGCAGCAAGAGAAACATGACTTTGAATTTCAAATCCAACAGCCGGGATCCACGATAAATCCCGGCGGTCGTTGATGGAGTCATCGAAAACACGTCATAACCGGGATTCGTATGAATACCGGTGCCGGGAGGCTAGACACAGCGTTAAAATAAACTATGGGACTAGATAACGTTTCAGCTTTTGTTGTAAAAGACTGCAAGTTTATTTTCGCGCCAATACTTACTGCAATATTTAACTTATTTATAAGCAAGGTCTGTCCAGTCTTTAAAAAGGGCAATAACTGTGATATAGAGAATTATAGAGCAATGAGTATATTGCCCAACTTTTCAAAAGTGTTTGAATCAGTGTTGTACACTCATATTCTTTCAGAATCTCAAATGACCTCGCAGCAGAGCAACATGCATTTATGCAAGGCAAATCAACATCAACAAACCTGATAACCTTTACCCAATATATGTCAGATTCCCTTGAGGTGTTCAGAGATGTCCATGTGGCTTACCTTGAAAAGGCCCTTGATAGACTGAATAGAAAAATACTAATTGATAAATTAATACAGGCGAATTTGCCATATGTCTTAATTCGACTTATTAGGTCTTTTTTGCATAAACGTCTTTTCTGCATAAACATAACAATTATAAGTCAAAGCCCTACAGGTCTGCATTAGGAATATCTCAAAAGTCAAATTTGGGTTTATTTATCGTAACACAAAAGATATGGGCATTTCTACAATCAAACTTTTGCATGATTTACTAATTAGCTATGACAAAGAATATGCATCAGTTCACATCAGTTGTATGGGACCCATGTTATCAGAGGTCAATAGAAAATTGTCAAAAGAAATTTTTGAAAAAATAACACTTTAAGAGCTTCGGGGTTTACCCAGTTGATGTACCATATGATGTGTTGTGTATCCAACATGGTTACAGTAGGTTAGCTGTAAGAAGAAAATATTTTACTTCTTCATTATCATGTGAAAGATGAATATCTGTTGAGCCTGATAAATATAAGAGTACCAAATTTGAGCACTAGACAGTCACAGATATTGACTTATGATACACCAAGAACAAATAGGCAGTTTACCTCACCTATAGTAAGAATTTGTGATATAATCAATGAAACAAATTGTGATATTTTTTAAAGTAAAATAATTTTATGTGCCCATGTCGTAAATTACTCCCCAAATTATAAGTCGTTTTTGGTAATTATTTCACATTGAAAAGAATAGGCAATAATATTGGCACGCGACAAGTTAGGTACCTACCTACCTACGAAGAAGGCACTGTTGCCAATGCAAAAATATGGTATAGTGGCGAGCGCTCCGGACGACTAGCATAGGAGAGTCTTGGATTCTCTGTCATCCTTGTTCAAATTGATGCACGGAAAGTTCGATTGTCCTCACTTGCTCTTGTAATTGAATTTCTTTGTTTTCAGACTCCAAAGCAGGAACAACGTACCTAACATTTTATTGTACTAGAGCAAAAACCAGTATTATTTATATGTTCAATTAGGTAATTTTGTAGTACAGGTTTCTAATAAAAACATACAATCCGAGGATCGATTTGTTCATTCATTCTACCCGTTTAGTAGATGGTATTTACATTGTATTATCCATTTTTGAGCCTAGGTTTATGAAGTAGTTATCAGAATTATCAGCTAATTTTTTTTTTCTATGTTATTGTTTTCTTGAAGGTTCACATTCTTTTCCAGATGTCTGACTGTGAAGTCCAAATTGACGGCCACTTCCTAGACCTCATCGACGACGAGTGGAGGTCTGACAAACTACCAGAAGACGACATCGACGTACCTTTATACGAACTGGCCGATCCTGAAGCTGATTCAGGAGACGTCCATTTAACTCTAAAGGAACAGGAACAAAAGTGGACTGACATACGATTGAGCAGTTTAAGTGAACACCAATAAGGTACTTATTTACTATACTATTAGTTTTTCAGATGTTATCAGTTTTCTGCATCTTATTTTTCAGCATTCTCAAATAAATTGGACATTTTAATCTGTTGCAGAATGATTAGTCTATTTTCACTTTATTTTTTCACACGTTATACATTAAACAATAAACATCAGTGATGATGAAGCTAACAATTTTTTTTTTCCCCAGCTCATCTTCTATCTACTATTAACATTATTATGGAACTTCCAAACTTGGGCAAACGATGTGCAGACGACCATTGCAAACAACTGGACTTTTTGCCTTTACAATGCCGCTGCGGAAAAATATTTTGTTCAGAACATTTAAACTGCCATGCGCAGACTTGCACAAAATCGAGGTTTTTGGCTGAAGATGAATTGAAGAAGATTGAAAATATTTTTGTTTGTTCTAGAGAAGGCTGCAAGGAGAGGAGTGTAGTACCTTTAATTTGTCAACGGTAAGTTTTTATTTCGAAAATTGCATTTTATTAGTTGAGGCATTTTTAGATGTGAAAAACATTTTTGTATCCAACATCGCCACCTGGCACAATGCCAGGAAAAATCACCAGAAGAACAAGCAAAAGAAAAAGAAAAATATTTTGAACCAGTGAAACAATTCAATAAAGCCAAAGCAGTTGTAGACAAACAAGTAGAAAACAGCCTTGCAGAAGCAAAAAAGAAATCAAAAAATAAAGAAATGGCTGCCAAATTGCAATTAATGAAAATAAAAAATAAGGCTATTGGGCAAAAAAACATTCCTCCGGCTGATAGAGTGTATTTTAATATTCATATACAAAGCCTTGGCAGAGATGTTCCAGTGTTTGTATCTAAAACATGGTCATTGGGTCGTGTCATAGATGCGGTCGCAGAAGAATGCAAACTGCAAAATAACAACCACAAGGGGAATGAGAAAAAACTGAGACTCTTCAAAAAGGATGATAAGAAAATAGTGTTTGGTAATTTAACAGCAACTTTGAGTGGTTTATTAGCTGATAAAGTAATAGTAGATGGCGAAGATTTAATTATAGAGTATGTTAGTGATACTTGTATAAGTTTATAAGTGATTTTTTTATAAAAATCTGGAAAAAACTATATTGGTTTTTATTTTTTATAAAATTAGCATAAACTACAGTAGCATCAAGTCAATCAACTAACAAATATACATTCATTGGTCACCTTTTTTCTTTGTTATCCATAATGCACCACAGATATAAAATCTAATTCCTGATTTATTGCACAAATCAAGTTAATGGTCACTGGCTTTTGAATTCATTGAGAAATTTCTAGAAAGCAATTCAAGAGCCGAGAATAATTCAAATTGTGATTATTAGTGGCCCTTGGTTTAGTCTAAGCTAATTTTTCTATTGGTAATCATCAGATACTTAAGAGTCCAAATGTGGTTTTTCAAGGAATCTTGTTTCACCTGAGTAATTTATCATCAAGATTTGGACTACTGATCATAATTTTGAATATTAACGGATACTGTAGCACTATTTTTCTTTTATTTTGTCAATGAACTTTAATGTCAAATTGTCATGTCAAAGATCCTGACCAATAAAGAAACAATAATGCGACATACGTTTTCGTATTCAAAGCAATCTTTGATTGGTTTTTTTTTTGAAGACCCGATATGTTTCTGTACTATAAGCACTTACATATATTTTGATTGGAAAGAAGTGAAAAGTTGCGGAAAATGGCTTTTACATTTTGATGTATAAGTCTTATTGGAACTAGGAAAGGATATTTAATAAATAATATGCTTTATTGGCTGGTGGTTTTCCTTATATAACTTCGAGAATATAAAACATATAAATGAATTGTATACGAAACACACATCAATGATAAAGAAGTTTATTCCAAAATAGTTATAGAAACATAATGTAGTTTTCTACATTTTTAATAATGCCTACCTACCTACTGAAGCGATATTAGGTCTTGAATCTGGCATTAAACTGAATATAGGTAATGAAACACGCTACTAAAATGCTCAATGTTGATTCAAATATACAATACCGAAAAGTGATGAAAAAGTTAAATCAAGAATCGAACCAACGCGAAAAGTGGTTGTTTTACACTAAGCTTTCCGATGTAGTGGAAAACAGATTGAGAAAATTGATTTCCGTCAATAATATGCCTCAAATTTGGTCTATTCGAATGCTTCAAGCCTCAAAAAACACATAAAATTGATTTCTGTTTCTTACCTGATACTTACCTTATTTATCCATGTCAAACGGTTAGTGATTGTATATTATTTCATCTTGCTCGCAATCGATAAGTTTTGTGTTTAATCAATATTAAAGCAAACAACGAACTTGTAAAAATGTCCTTGTTAATGTGTACAGGCACTCAAACTCCTTCATTTCACGTGGATTATGGGATACCATTACATGCTAGAAGAAGTACAGATTACAGGACATCAACTGGAAAAAATCATGGGTTTATACCAGAGATTCCACAGGATTTTGATAGTGTAAATATTGAAAATTGATAGGAACCTAAATATTTTTCAATAAATTTTAGAGAGGCAAAGCAAAATTTCAGCGTGAGCTACTTGATAAAGATATTACTATAAGGAATGAGTATCAAAGTACTTATACCAAAGAGTATGATGAAAAATACACTGATAAAGATATGCCCAGAAACGACTTGGCAACGAATTCTCAGAGGGTGGATTTCACTAGAACTGTTGAAGAAAGGGTAACCTGCATGCTTTTTTCTGCTCTAGAACATCACATCAATTAGAAATATTTTTAGATATTTAAAACTCCTCCTCGGCCAGCTGCCCCGAAACTCACTGAAATGAAAGATTCTTATTTATTGTGTCATTGGACGCCTCCGAGAGATAATCATCTTGATTTCACATGTCAAGCAAGTAACTATTTGGTAAGCCTTTAGAGCGTTGGAGTTAGGATGTGTTTTTATTTAGATGCCAGACACATACAGAGGAGTTCAACCAGATATCAATCCTGGCGAAATGGGCTACTACAAATATTTGGATTTTTATATGTCTGAAAATAAATCAAAGTTTGTTTCCTATAAACCTGAACAAATGCAAAAAGCTAGAGAAGACTTTCCTACTTTTTATAATACTGGCGGAGTTCATAAGGTACCTACCTGATTATTCAATAATTAGCTTATTTGTTTAATTAATATAGAAAATTTATACCTAATAAAACCAAACTTATAACTTATTTTCTAGGGTTTCAAAGGCGAATTACCAGGAAATTTACATGGATACAAAAACTTGTATGATAAAAGAGTTTTCAGAATTGAATACCCGAATAGAATTTTATCAAATGCTCCCAAAAGAGTACCACATTTGTATGTATAATTATTATATAATGTTAATTTTAGCTGCAATTGTCATGATATTGTAAATCAAAGTAAGATTAGGGCTAGACATGGTCATATGAAAAACTCACCTATTAAGTATACAAATCATACTATGAAATCCTTACAATTAGTTGTCGATCAAATGTATATAATCTTGACAGTTGTAAATAAAATGTTCAAATTATTACCACATTTCTATTTTCACACAATACAAGTATGGTAATGATGGTACTCGTAACCATAATATAACTATTTTGCTTTTTAGTGGTATGACCTCAGAATACCAATCAAACTACCCCAAGCCAGCCTATTCAGACTTCTACCCATATGTGCAAGAAAATGGACTTTACTTTCCTGAAGCCCTACCACATTCCTCTCCATGGCAAGATTTGTGCCCTCCCGCAATGTATCGCAGCGAATATTGTCACATCGGCACTGGGTGGCCTGTCAGGGCCGTAGTGGATGTAAATAAATAGTTCACAGAGGCACATTCTGAAAACTTTTGAATAAAATTAATACAAAATTTATCGTATTTTTAACATTTTATTGCAAAGCTCTTACAAAAATAACAGTATCTTAAATATTTAATTGTGGTACTCAAATTTCGAGCCCTAACAAATAATTTGCACAACCCCCTGTCAAGTCTAACCCAAACATGGAATTTAACTTAAGAATTTCCCAATACATTCCAAACAAAAAATAAACTAAAAAATTCCCAAAAAATATAATAAAATACGTCATAAGTACAAATTGAACACACAAATTAATTAATATTTTTTTTGGATTAAATCAATTTTGCGTTGACAAAATTAATTCAAAACCAAAACGGATTTCTTAAAATAATTAGCCTATGAGTCCCAGCCCAGTGGTCCAATTTTTGAAAAAATATCGCATACGAAATTTGATTCGAATTTGACTGACAGCAATGTAAATTGAATGGGAAACGTTCGAAATCATATAAAATTTCGTATACGATATTTTTCAAGAATTGGGCCCCTGTGCATGTGTGTATCCTGAGATGAATTTGTGGAAAGAGATTCGGATCGCGATAAAAAGGCAACTATTCTAATGGCGTTTCCGATTGGTTGATCTAGTGCGGAACTAGTGTATTTTTTTCTATTTCTGTCTTTTTCTTCTACAGGTCAATTAAAAGGATGCGAATACACTCAGTGCGCACTGAATCTGCCAATCGGAAACGCCATAAATCTACACAGCTAGAGTGCAAAAAAGCATTAAAAAATATATAGTTTTCAATAGAGAACAGACATGAGAAACGTTCTAGAACGGTAATTTCCAGTCAATCAATTCATCTGTCAATTAGGATAGACGTTCAACTTATTAAAAAATAGGTGGGCAACTGGAAATTACCGGTTCTGGAACGGTTCTCATGTCTGTTGGAACAGTGCTTAATGTAATAAGATTTAAATCATTTAAAACAAAACTAAAAACTAACATCCCAAAATTATGAAGAACAAAAAAATACTGGCGGCCTTCCCTCAAGATCCTGGAATACCTTGTTGAACTTTGCCTTTACAGGTAGTAAAGGGTATTGTTGAGGGCTGAGGATGCTGGCCTGGAACAGAGAGAAAATAAAAATTATGTACCCTTGAGCAACAAGTTATTTATAAACTACTAATGAACCATATTGTTCGTCGATTTTAATCTGATACTCGGACGGAATGTGAGCTGGGGTCGTATTTTCGAATATTCTCGCATACGAAATTTGATACGATTTCGAATGCTCCCCATTTAATTTACATTCCGTGCGTTCGTTATTTTGGTCCGAGTTCTCCGAGCTTGACTTTACCGTTCGTTTATTCAAAAAGTGTACTCGGTGTATCCTCATTCGCGTTCGTTTATTAAAATTTCTGGCACTTTTATACAGCGTTCATCTGCTCTGTTCGCTCGCTGGTCACGTGGTTACGGCTCCGCTCTGCACGCTCTGCTCTTCGAGCAAAATACCGAACGCAAGGATTGCTGTCAGTCAAATTTCGTGTACGAAATGTGTACTCGAATGAACTCGAAAATACGACCCCTGAAACGAGCATTCTTGACAAAAAGGCGAATTGATTTTTTTCATATATTTTTATTATTTTTAAATTATTTTTAATGTTCAACTGCATTTGGCTTGCCGAGTCCTTTTAGCTCTTTTCACCTCATTTTTTTGAAAACTATGACTGGCAGGAAGTTTCCGATGTCGAACATAGTGCAAAAAGAGTTAGTAAGTTAGCAAGAGACACGCAGCTATAGGTAGATCGCAAAGTAAATACGAATTATAAATACAAATACGTACGAAACGAAACAAACGAGTAAATACAAAAAAATACGAACAAAAATTAGGGTTTTTTTCAACCAAAACCACAGAAAACTTTTTGAATTTTCACTTTAACGCGCGTGTGGACCATGGTTTACAACAACACAATTTAAAAATTCAAATTTTGACTTTTAAAATGACAAAATAAATGACAAAACCAACCAACACAAATCACTGTCCACACCACAGATACCTGTAAATTTCTCTTATCTCCAGTGTCGCCATCGTTGAATGAAAACCTAACTAAAAACCTTCGTCGCGATTCTCCCATTTGAGATATTTTTCTATAGGTGATATGTTATGTACCCTGTATATTAATGTATTTTTGGATTCTACATAAAATTCTGAGCAGATTTCATGTAATATACCCTATACCTAAGTTCAACTGTTTTGGAAATATTGACAGTTGAAAATTGACTTTTTGCAACTTTGACAGGCTGTAAAACCTGAACGGTTAATTTTAGAGGAAACCCGATTTTACATTCCTATCTTAGATTTTTATGAACTATCATTTGACACCAACTTTGAATTAAATCCATGATTAAAAATTTCAGTTAAATTTAATCTCCGGTCAAGTTCAAAGTTGGTGTCAAATGATAGTTTATGAAAATCTAAGATAGGAATGTCAAATCGGTTTTCCTCTAAAATTAACCAATTAGGTTTTACAGTCTGTCAAAGTTGCAAAAAATCAATTTTCAACTGTCAATATTTCCAAAACAGTTGAACTTAGGTATAGGGTATATTACATGAAATCTGCTCAGAATTTTATGTAGAATCCAAAAATACATTAATATACGGGGTGTTCTATTTAAAATAACCGAGTTGGTATCAACTTCCGGTATGACCGGAAATGCCGCCATCTTGAAAATATTTTACCTGGATGTCCCCCATCGACATTGCTATGTTGCCAAATTTTCAAATTTTTACCTTTCACAGTTTTCCCATAAGCAATCGATGTCATTCCCGGAGGACCACCCGGTATAATAGATAAGAATGTCTATCATAGGGAACTCGTAAACGGTATCAGATATGGCAATGGTTAAATGGAAACAAAGTTGCCCTATATAATGAGTAACAAAATGCATCCAATAAATTTTAAAAAATTAACAACTTCGAGAAATATTCGAAAAAAAAAACGAAATTTTTCGTATCTGTTACCGTTTACGAGATCCCCATGATAGACATCCTGATCTTGGACACCGTGTATAATAAAAAACAAATTTTTCTCACCTGTGCAAAGATTGAGCAGTGAGGAACGCCAACTTGTGTGCATACTGGCAGGGTGCTGGCACTCTAACGGTTCCAGACCAATTAAAATACATATGACACATTTTGTAAGTGAATTTTTGTAATTTGTTGGCATCAATCCCTAGTGTATCTTCGATAACGTTGTAGCTTGTAGGAGCAACTGTTCCCTGTCTCACACATTGGGAAACTATGTAAAAGTCATATCTTTCTGGCCAGGTAATAACATCATCAACTACCGTACCAGGTGGGGGATTGAAGTCATTCCTTTGGTTCGCCTGTGCCCTGAAAATTTTCGTGTTTATTCTCTTGGATACAATGATGTATGCCATCTTCAATGGAACATCTCTGTAAAGTTCTTCAGATAATTTGGTCTTAATCATTTCAACTTCAAATTCTTTAACATATTGAATTTGCCCATCCCCAACTCCATCTCTGTAAACAAGGATTCTCTCAGGAATCACCTTGTTAATTTGTTGATATCTTTTGCATGCCAACAACATAAAACTAGCGATGTTTGAGCTCAGTTCTTGCTCAAATGCGTGTTCGATTGCCATGCTGAAGTACTGAGTGCAACCTTGGTCCATTGAAGCAACCATTCCAGCGAAACTTTTTGATCTTTGCGCTGTGTCCCTACATACATCATAGCCAACAACCATGGTGTTTTTAGGCGTTGTTGTCGCCCATGGAGCTCCGCCCATTTTACAATTCATTTGAATTGCTACTTTAGTAGCAATTGACATGGTACCCTTGCTGGTCAAGTTCCTTGCTACCATAACCTGGCAAGGCAGGGCATTGTCAATATAGCATTTTTTCTTGATAGCGTTGTATCTATCACCAGAGTTATTCGTGAGAACTACCATAACCATACTAGGTTTCATTTGAGCATGTACTTTTTCTATCTCGGAAATGTAGCTACTGTTTCGGTCATCTGAAATAGCAAAGACCTTTGAGTTGATGTTCATTGACATGCCCTTGCCAACTTTGGACAACATTTGTCCAAACTCTTGGGCGGCTTGAGTTACACGACTCGGAGCAATAATGGCTAGTTTATCCACGTTCACAATATGGTACATGGGAGCAGTACGCAAATTTCGTGTCCAATCTGCTTCTTCCCCACCTGAATAAAAAATAAATTAACTATACAACGTGAAACTATTAATTATTTAATAAATTTGAATAAAATGTGCCTTGTGATTACTATTTTTTTAAAATTAAGAAGGCACTTTTTGGATTATCAATATCCACTTTCAATCAAACTAAAGTATGACTAATTTTGTCAATTAGGTATTTTATCCTTACCTTGAATGGGCTGATTACTCCTCAATAATAGAGATTCTTGTGGTAACACTCTTCCCTGGAGTTCAATCAAACAATCTGCAAGTTTAAGGTCCCAACGCCTAATTTCTTCTAAGGCAGCGGGACAGGCTCGAAGGCGCTCAACAAATTGCAAGAGTTTTCTCATGCGGTCTGTAAATTGAATTTATATTAATTGACTCAAAAATCAAAATTTCTATTTTAATAACTACAAAAGTCAAAATTCTCACCTCCTGGATTAACCCTGGTGTGTTCACCCATCGACCTCATCAGTTGGAAATTTTCTCTTTGCTTATCTGACAATCCTGTCATGATGCAAAGTTCCGGTAGCAAGACAACCAAATCTGGCATGCCTGCGCGAATTTCACGGGGCTTAGATCTTGAAACCAGTAAGGGCTGCTCATTGTGTTGAATTCTTATCTGATATCTCTCTTGGAAATATTGCCTATAGGAAATCTGTGATCCATCTCGTTTTGTAAACGTGTCGTCAGGGGTTTTTTTAAAGTCCACATCATCAATACGGTAAGTTTTATTATTATATTCAGTCAGAACGATTGCGCCGATTACCCTTTTTTGAAATTCCTGTTTTGGATCACGACTCGAGCCGCATTCCAGGAGCAGATCGTAGACTTTGTCAGTTCTCAAGACCTAAATAAAAACATTATTATTTGTAAGTCAACTATTATTTTTAAAAGAGCAGAATGAAACACTGAAAGAATTGAATCATGAATTAAAAGACAGGAATTCATTTCAACAACAATTACTGCAGGAGAAACCAGTAAGTTATGCCCGAGCAGTCACAAGAAAGGTGAAATGTAAAAAAGAATAAGGTAAAAAACCAACAATAATTTTCTGATAATTTTCAAAAAGATGTTAGAGCGATAACTGCAAATTTAAAAAATGCTATGAATACAATCATGCACTAACATTTCAATTGAAATAATAGTAACCAAAAGTAATAAGAAAGTCATTATTCCAATAGGAAAACGTTGAGGAGGTGACCGATTTATCAACCAAAGCATGAGACAACTTGTATAAGGTTAATATCGAGAAGCCCAAGGACTTATTTATAAAAGTTGTTGGAATTGACACCAATAACAGATCACGTGGAACTTGGAAAGGATATAATTGCTAAAAATAGGCTAAAGAACACACATAATAAAGGTAAATTTAAATCAACACATAACAAAGGTAAATCTAAAAAATGAAAAAAATTAAATTTCAACTTACTTTGAATGATAAATCCACATTCAACATAATATTTTGCTCGTATTGTTTCATTGAAGTTAGAAATCCAGGCCACAACTCTAAGTTGTGTTCATGAATTGCAACTTTGAGGTTCGGGTCAAAATAATTTCTTCCAAGCAGTTGGAAGTTCATGTAGTTGAAACATTTTCTAATTATAATATTGAAAAGTTGTAAATAGTGGTAATCACCCTCGTTTACTTCTCCTACCATGCGGATTTCGACTTTAATGTTTTGCTGAGCTAAAAAAAAATAAAAACTTTAGGCCAACATGTTATTTAAAAATAAGAAATAATCTGTTATTTTTATGCAATTTGATTGGGGATTTATGATTTGCGATTTTTTTTTAAATCAATACATTAATTACTCTTTTAAAATAGCTAAAAAAATGTGCACTTACTAGTCTCATCTTGGGACACAAACTCGCAGGGCTCAGGGTGTAAACGATTCGGGGTATACAAAACTGTTCCGTCAAATAGATAACCAGTAACGTTGAAAGGTCTGATACCGTTTGCAACTAACTTCTTTCTCGCTCTTGTATCATCGATTGGTGGATTGAAATCCACTCGGTACTGATTCAAGCCCCATTTAGTGGCTGATATGAGTTGGAAATAGTTAGCCTTAAGTCTGATGACAGTTCCATCACTGCCCTTCTTACTTTTGCACGTGTCGGGCCTTGTATTAATAATCTCATTTCTGTTTGTACGCCCTCTAACACCACCATTTCCGCCGCCTCTCGTTTGGCCATTATCAGCATCTCCGCCCTGTTGTACTAAAAAAAAAAGATAAGATAAGCCAATTGTATACTTTATTTACATAACAAGACAAGTGTGAAAACTGGATATGGTCTAAGTATTCTCGGAGTCCTGGGTGAAAAACCAGATCAAGTAGATTGCCACGAGCATTAGATAATGCATTTATCTGGAACAGGTTGTGGTAAGCGCTCATATTGGATAAACATGAGTTGTTTATTTTGTTTCTTAGTGGACAAAAATATTATTTGTTTCTCAGTGGACAAAAATGTTAATATATACAACAATTATTTTGCCTCATTTTAATTATTGCACATCATTGTTAATATCATGTAAACAGGAAGAGATAAGTAGATTGCGGTTGTTATATGTTGCAGGAATTGAAGTGGTTGAGAGTTAGGTAATGGATAAAAAGAGCGAATCTAGTTTTAATTTATAAAATTGAAAATGTGTCTGTCTAAAAACTAAATGCCCTATTCATGTCAGTATAAGGTTGTATCCACCACCAAATTTAACTTTAAAAAAGCTAATTTCCTGTTAATGTACCACCTTTTTAAAAATCAAAATTGGGATATCTTAAAAAACGGTACAGATGTAAATACATCTATGAAGGCCTTTTACACTATTATGGGTAACATTTTGGAAATATGTGTTCCCAAGTCCACCCATATTGATAAGAAATATCCTCTATGGTTTGATAGACAAATTATTTTACTCATTAATACTTTCCGAAATGAAAAAAATGCAGATCAAACTACTGGAGGTCCTACGCAACAAAATTGAAGACAAAATGAAATTAGCCTACTCTAAATATATGCATGATGTGAAAATTAGCTCAAAATCAAACCCTTAATTCTTTTGGTGATATGTGAAAGGCCTTAACGATCATCCAGATGTTCTTCAGGAAATGGATTTCTGATGGCAAAACGTACACTAAACCGCGAAATATTGCTAACGACTTCGCTGATTTTTTTAAATCAGTTTTAATTGATGATGTTGACGTAACTTGCAGTAAATTTCCTGTAAAGTCGCACTCCTGCAATAAGCAGACTGAAATTGAAAAGGCTTTTATAAAGATTAAGGATAACAAAGCAATAGGTCCTGATGGAGTACCTGCTTATATCATAAAGGGCTGTAGTAAATATTTGGCGTTGCCTCTTGAATTTCTATTTTACTTTATTTTAAAAACGTCTGTGTACCCAGATAAATGGAAAACAGGCACAGTTATACCAAAGTCTGTTATACCTGTTTAAAAGGCTGGCGCCAGAAAAGACATAAAAAATTATCGTCCTATTTCAATTGTATGTGCAATCCCTAAAGCTTTTGAGATAATTATTTTTGATCGATTGTTAAGTGAAATTTCGGGCAAAATAATATCATACCAACATGGTTTTTTTCCTAAAAAGTCAACTTTTACCAACCTAATCACATTTTCTCAATATATTCATGATGCAATCAATAGCAAGTCACAAGTTTACGTAATATACACAGATACGGAGAAGGCTTTTGATAGGGTGAGGCACTGCGTAATTTTGAAAGCCCTAAACGATATGGATGTTTCATCTTATCTATTTTAAATTGGAAAAGTAGTCCATGACTCAAAGTGGAGTTGAAATTTGAAATCAAAAGAAACACATTTTACTAAATACAATCCTATCTTAGCCATAGATTTCAATATATAGAAATCAGAGGATCTAAATCAGTGATGTACAAGAGCACATCAGGGATACCTCAGGGCTCTAACCTCGGCCTTCTTCTGTTTTTAGCCGCTATAAATAGTATTATGGGCAATCTTGAAAACGTCAAAGGCTTACTGTTTGCTAACGATTTCAAATGTTTTCACCTAATAAATTCTAACGAGCATTGTGAAACCCTTCAAAATGACTTTTGTAATGTATCTAGTTGGGGTACTGCGAATCAGGCTGTGAATAGCTAATCTCAATGTGAATAAATGTAAGTGTATGTCATTTACCCTTAACAAAAACTCTTATCAGTATGATTACACTTGCAATAATACTAAAATCAAAAGAGTTGACAAACAAAAAGATTTAGGTCTAATCTTTGACATGGATCTCACTTTCACTGATCACATTCTTGCAAAAATTGAAAGTGCTCAGAGGGTAGCAGGATTTATTACAAGAAACACTAGAGATTTTGACATGGACATGAGTTTGCATCTTTTTGACAGCTTGGTTTCGCCTATACTGGAATATGGTTCTGTAATTTGGTCTCCCTAATATGATGTATGGATTATGATTATTAAGGGGGTACAAGCAAGAACTCATCTATATTTAAAATGTGTTCAGTTTTTACTCGGTATGCTTCAGATATTGACATATGGTTTATTTTTTTCCAAGATAGATTTTGGCATTGTCAACTTTGAAACATAAACAATGCCGGTAATGCCGCTTATTGGTCGCTATTGTAAAACTGATGTCAACCTGCAGAAACACCTCATTTTGCGACCAATCAGGGTCAAGCGTTATTGTTTATGTTTCAAAGTTTTCAATGTCAAAATCTATCTTGGGAAAAAATAAAGTGTAGACATAAGGCAAGCAGTGCTTTCATCAGGCCCTGCGATCTCTCATTGCCAGTTATAAACCACATAATAACTCTTTTCCGTTTTTCTAGATGTCGCTGACAACCACAGAATTGTCAAAATTGTAAAATACCAGCACATCAAGAACACGTCCGATGTCGATAACTGACATGTCAACATATGACAATGTGACAATTGATAGTAAACTGTGTGATGAGATTTAGGGCGTTTGAGTTATGTACAAAATTAATTTCAACCAACCATTTCAATTACGTATTGTTTAGTTTTAGTAAAAATGTTTTAGTGCTTAATATCTTTATTTCCTTTTAAGTGTATTGTTAAGCTTTATGTTACTGTTAGTCTTAAGTGGATGTCTGTAACTGGCCCCTGGCTGTTGATATCTGAATGATAAATAAATAAATAAATAAACAACAGTAGATCAGTAGAAAACATAAGCAGCCTGTCGATTAGACAAATAATATAAGCCAAAATTTACCTTTAATAGTTTCATCTATGCTCTCTCTAGCTTCAGGGCCTCCCTGTCTGGAGCCCCGACCCAAAGTAACTGATGCGGGATGAGAAATTTCTGGTGCCAGTGGCCTGGCAGCCCATCCCGCCTGTTGTTGTGGTGGGGGTCCTTGGGCCCTTGCACCCCATGCACCAGGTGGTCCTGGTTGCGTCGCTGGGCCTTGTGGAGTCGGGCCCACTGGCCTACCTCCACGCGCACCCTGCGGCGGTGCTCCTTGAGGAGGACGAGCTTGTCCCGGAGCTGGTACATCCTGTTGAGGTAGATTACCTCGTGCACGCCCCCGATTTCCCCTGCCCTTTCCTCTAGACTCCATTCCTATCTACAATATATATTGCTAGTCAGAAATATTTAATACATGTAAATACATAAAATATCGGAGTTTCAGGGAGGTATGCCTGCTTGTTCAACGTGGTTGATGAATGAAAACGAAAACATGAATATGAAGCATCATCTTCAAGGGTGAGAAAAAAAGCTTCATCTCTTTTTAAAGCCACCACATTTTGCAGCAAATGCCTTTGGATATTTATTAGTATTTGGTAGGTGGCTTTAACCAAATCTAAAAATTAATGAATGGCGTACACAGTGAAAACTGTATTCTAATTTCCAGTCAGAGTCTGATACGAGCTTCTATGTTACGCTAATTTTTTTCTAGGATCATAGTGTTCTCTTGGAACTATAGCTAAGTTATTGTTATATACAGAACAAATTATACATTACTTTTTGTCTGAAAACCTAGTAAATGTTATATCCAAGGTTAAGAATATCAGATATTAACTTTAATTTAATTTGAGCCTAATTGCGTTGAAATCAGATGAAAATTAAAGCAGCAGGGTGACAAATACTCTCGGAGTGTCATTTTTGAAAAATTTTCAATGTTCAATAAATTCAATTTTGAAGCTTCTTAGGTGCAAAACTGTTGAATCCAAATTATTGATCAATTGTTTTTTAGAGAATTTAATGAATTTTAATTAGAGCCTAGTTGCGTTGAAACCGGATGAAAATTCCTGAAGCTGTGAGGCAAAAAATGTCTCAGTGTTATTTTTGGAGCATTTTCAATGTTCGATGATCTCAATTTTTAAATCTCTCATGTGCAAAACTGTTGAAACCTTAGATTGTTGAAATCAAATTAGAATCTCAATTGACAGGTTTGTAAAGAATTTAATTGGCTTTAATTAGAATCTAACTGTGTTGAAATCAGATGAAAATTAAAGGAGCTGTGAGGAAAAAACTCTCTCAATGTCATTTTTTGGAAAATTTTCAATGTTTAGCAATGGTAACCAAGTGAAAGAAGGCTACTGTTGCGATGCAGTAATCTCAGATAGAGTTTAATTAGCAGAAGCTATTTTGGAAGTTGATGAAAATAATCCTGTTTTAACTATCGTATACACTTTGGAGAAAAGCGTGCAAGTAAACCTTATCAGCGTGGAACTCGAGAAATTTCGCGAAGATCACTGTTTTAGCTTAAATGTTACCTACGCAATCAGAAATGTCCGACTCTCACACAGTTGATCGCATTTACACATTAGAAAATAATTTAAGATTGGAACATCTTAATTCTTGACAAAAATTGTCAATTTTGAACCTCTGCGGAGAGTTCAAACATATTTTTCATTTACCAAATGATGCATTGATATTCACTCAAGCGATTTAATGTCAAATAAATACGACTACTGATACCCTATTTCAGGGCAAGTATATAGACTTCCAAAATCTGATGAATCGGCAATTTCAAACCAAATTGGAAATAATGTTGAAACAGAAGATAATTCAACCGTCTGTTGCACCTGCTTTTAATTTTGAAATAAATGATACAATAGAACATTGCGTCGGCATGTAACTTTACAGGCGACAGACATACATGATTTTGAAGCCATCCATGGTTGTCACTCTTAAAAAACAGCTTTATAGTTCTGACCAGTGATTTTAACCAGTTTTGGACGGTTAAAACCAATTTTGACCTCTGCCCTGGTCAAAATCGAGAAAAAGTGTTTTTTTTTTCCAACCCTGGTCTGTGTACCAGATGTGTTTCAAATATTAATGAATACGGTTTTAACCAAACTTCGAGGAAATCAATACTTTGTTTATCTTGGGTCAAATATTAAAACCTAAATGTTAATTTTATAGCAGAACCGATTTTACATTCTTAGTTTTTCATGAGCTATCATTTGACACCCACTTAGAATTTAATCCATGATTGAAAATTTCAGTTAAATTTAATACCTATCTGGTTGAATTCAAAGTTGGTCCCAAATGATAGTTAATGGAAAACTAAGGCCTGGTTGTATCAAATAGTAAAAAATTGGATCAGAATTTAACGTTAAAATTGAAAATGAAATAAAGAATTGATATTTAAAAAAAATAAAGTTAGCTGTCATGACTTGTTTTTGGGTCACCCTGTATGCATGATATTATCATCAGAAAAACGGCAACTAATCTTTGTGATTGTTATTTTATATTTTATATTTTCTGTGTAACTTAGTATAAGTCTAACTTTTTGTGTTTCTTTTTAATTTAACCATAGTGAATATTAGGGTGTATCAGTAAGCAATCTTGTATTGTAAGTACCTGTTAAAGGTGTATGTAGGAGTATAAATAAATAAAATAAGTACATAGATATTTATTTTATTAGGAATCAAGTCCATGCAGGGAAAAAACTAGTAAACTTTGGTATCGAAAAAAAGATACAGTTTACAGTTGTGAGCATTAAAAATGGGACACCCGATTTTTCCTATTATAAAACGGGCTCACGAGCTACACTATCGGCGATGACAGGGATTGTAATATTTGACAAAAAATCCGTTGGACAGAAAAAAGACTAAAACTAACCCAAACTATTCTGTCATTGGTTCTGTCATTTGGAATCCATTCTTTCAAACCTATGTTAAAAAGTTACAAAGTGTACAGAGATAGTTTCTAAAATATATTGCTTTTAGGATAGGGTTATCATCTGACAATTTAAACTATTTATACCTCGATTTATACACTCCCTATTAGAAAAGACTATAGATTTGCAAAGTATAGGAAGGAGAAAAGAGAGATCAGATACTTTGATATGTTTTAAAATTATATCTAGTCACATTGACTGTTCAGAATTACTTGAATTAATCCAATTTCATGTGGCTTCACGAACTTTAGGGTAAGGTAAAACGTTTGAATTGAAAATTCACAGAACTTCCTATGACCAGAACTATCCTCACCAGGATAATGAAAACGGCAAATTCACTTGATGGAAATCTATATTAACATAAGTCTCAATGCCTTAAAGTTCAAACATAAAAAAAAAACAAACTCGGACTTTCTGATACCTTTATTAATTTAGAAGGTTTATGCCCACTTGCACCGTAAGTTAAACAGAGGTTTAAATTTTAACAAACGTTTATTTTTCGTAATTGACTTGCACCGCAAGTTAATCCTTGTTTAAGTACCTCTAAACTGCTGTTAAAATAAACCCCCAATTTCGGTGGTTTAAAATCACAGTTAACGATTTTTGGGTCTAATGACTTAAGTATAGAATATAGATTCAAATAAAAACGGCATTTTTATCATTTTTTGAGAAAGATTCAAATCGAATAGAAACGTTTAAGCTATAAATAAAATATAAATGCGCAAAATGCATATTTTCCATTAGAAAATTATATTTAAATATGATGATTTGCGGGTCAATGACGATTTGACACCTTTCGAAATTCAACTACGAAAATTCCCTACCTACTCGACTATCGGTCACTATTAGCTGTGTATCAAAGATGAATTTCCCAGTGATATGCCCTTGCCTTTGGAGGTATTCCATAAATTTGAAACCACGTAAATTGGTCAATATAAGCCATAAGAAAGGGAGGCTGCAATACTCCTAATCTCCTTAAAGTACCTAGGTATTCCTTGAATGACGACCAATAACCTACAACGTGGTTGGTTAGGTTGGTACGAACACAAGTACAAGCTCCAAGTTATGGGATCTTGAAATTTAAATTATTTTTGAGTCTCGGATTCCTCGCTCCGTTCGCCAAACCTCAAAGGAAAGATCCTCGAAAATGTAAATCCACCAAAAACGTGAAAAACCTTTTGCAAATGTAACACTTTCTTGTTTTTAATTATTTTTGAGTCTCGAAACGTAAATCCACTAAAAAAAATGGAAACCATCTTTTTAAAACACTTTCTTGAATTTTAAATTATGCGTGTTTGTAACTAAAACCTACCAAAATCTTTTCATATGATCAATATTAGTGTTGTAAAATTATTCTCGGTAATTTTCGAACGTTACCGAACTTTCGGGAATGTTTGAGAATTTTCGAGAATTTATGAGAACTTTGGAGAATGTTGCAAAAGCACCTATAAATTCAACTTTTTAATGTAGGGCTTGCAAAAATGTCTATTAATAATAAAGTTTCACTAAATTTCCGTATTTTTCTTTTCTCTGGTAGGGGTAGGTGAATTTTCCATGAATGTAAATATAACCCTTGTCTATGTATTATTAATTTATTCTGAAGAAAATGATAATATTTATAAAACTAATACAAGTCTTGTTTCTTGTGAGTTAGAATAATAAAAAACAAACTAAAAAACAACGCAGATGTAGGTAGCAGTGGTAGCACCAAAAAATAAAATTCAAAAAAATCTTTATTTTCTACTTTACTATTATAGATCCATAATACCTAGGAAACGAAATACGTTAACACACCTATAACAACCTGATCCATAACGCCCGCTTTTGCGGGCGTTATGATCTATAACGCCCGCTTATAATACCTTAAGGTGTTTTTGTTTTTGTTGTTCTATTAATTTGCACTTTACCCTAGGCAGCCACTAAATGTCTGACCGAAAATAATTTTCGGTCTAGCCAGGATTCGAACCCGGTCTACCATCAACGTTTCCCATGTAGTCCAGCGCGTTAACCCACAGGACCACCACCGTTGCCTTGCCTTATGAGATGTTTATAGATATATCAATTTATTTCGTTTCTATGTACAGGTCGCAGGTACAGGTACAGGTCACAGGTACAGGTACATGTCAAAATACAAATCAATATTCTGTCGCACAAGTTTAACTGATTTTGTTAATAATAAATTGATGAAAAAATATTGGGCTGAGTAGAAAATAAAGCATCGTATGCACCACGGGGATTTCAAGATTATAATGCCCTTCAGGCGAAATATATCCCTCGGGCCATAGGCCCTCGGGCTAGTTTCGCCTTCGGGCATTATAATCTACATAATCCCCTTGGTACATAAATAGCTATTAAATGCAAATACCTACATAACATAACTTCATAAAATGTTAAGTCAAAACAAAAAATTATATAAAAAAATAAATTTAAAAATAAAATAGGAACTCTAAAAAAAGGAACTTAAAAAACGAACTTTTTGTTGGTAATGGCTCGGTAATGGTAATAACACAAGTAGTTTATAAAATAAAAAAAATAATAATAAAAATATTCAGAAATCAGGGTCCATGCCCATGATTAATTCTGAAAAATCTTCAAGCCCAACTGAGGAGTCGCTACATGAAGAGAGTATTCTCCTTCTTCTTCTGAAGATGACTCAAATCGAATGATTGGGTAACGTTTAGAAATGCATTTTCAGCGAATTTTCGCTTAGAGAGGAGCGAACATTACCGTAAATTACAGTAATAGTGCGAACGTTCTCTTGGTAAAGTTCGCTTGTTACAACACTGATCAAGATAAGTGAGATGCCTGCGAAATTATTACATAAAACTATAGAAGATAGAAGTTGGGATCTAAAAGTCACTAGAACATAGACTTTGAACCTTTTAAAGCACTCCTTCGACCAGTAGCTTGTTAAAGGGGAAGCGGAATCAATTTCAGTGGTAATTTTGTCCCATGCAGCACTTTTTTCTTGATTTGTCGCCTTATCTGTCTTCTGTCTCTTTATTTTCGATGGTACCTTTGTATCTGGTCACTATATTGATAAAATTCCATTTTCCGGAAAGTTTGAGAATCGACCCTTTTTTTTCTGCCTTTTCCTCCAAAATAAAAAATGGAAAAATTGAAAGGAATATTGAAAGAAACCTAATTGCCACCATTAACGTCAAAATATTTGCATCAGAAATGAGTGTGAAGGTGTGAAGTTAACTTGTACTCCATGACTAGTATCAATGTTCTCGATTTTTAGTGAAATTCCCTAGATCCCTAGTTAAATTTTGAGCCTTACCTGAAAAATCACGGTGCAAGGCTTTAGAAATTAATTTGCTCTCAAATTTTAACTTGTCCGTTAATTAAACTAATCAGTTAGACAAAACGGTGCAAGTGGGCAAATTAATAGATTATAAACTCTATTAAAACATGGTTGCCAAAATCTTTGTTGGTTCATTATGGTTCCAAAAGTTGTCAAATTGTCAAATATCCTATTGTGTAAACTACTGTTTACTCTGTATTTAGTATGTTTGTACTTTTTTAAGTCAGATATTAACAAACTGTTCACTTATTTCAGTCTAAAAGAAAAATAAGGCTAGTCCAGTTTTTTTCGTAAATACCTACTCATTTTTGGGAATCTGTAATCAAGATTTCTGTGCTGCAATCCAAAGAAAAAATTATTTTTTTGTGGTATGTGCAATTCGAAATGGCACATGTGACAAAAGTTTTTTAATTACTTTGAAAACCTTGGTTGTCCTTATTTTATCCAATTTTTTTTCCGAAAAAACTTAACTTGCTGGAATTAATATGACTTTAGAATGGCACTCTTATTGTTAATTTTTTATTTATTTTATTGTTAATGCACTTAACACAAGAAATAGACATTCCTTGAAGATACAAAATAAAAATAATTGAGACAGTATTTCTGAATATCGCCCAACAAAGGATTTGCGAGTTTTTTTTAAGAAAAAATTAAATCGGCCATATTTTGAAAACCATAAGACTTGGTACTGAGGTAAGTTAGACTAAATAGGTTCTAAATGACTTACTCTATCACCTCCCAAAATATATGCATCGATCTACCAAATACCCTGTATAATGAATAAATAAATAAATTACAAAAACATATGTCGCATTATTATTTCTTTATTGGTCAGAATACGGTCAAAAAATCAAAGCCATCTTTGATCTACTTGTAGCGTGGTTATTGGCGAAACTAGAGAATATTTTCTCTAATAATTTTATTGGTTTATTTCCTTGGTGTTTTCGGTGCCACTGAACTCAAAGACATGGCTGTCATCAGACGGTGTCAGTTGAGGTGTCAGTGAATATTTTTAGGTAACGCCCCAGTTTTCTTCCCCCTTTCGTCTCTACCAAGTTACCACTTGCCAGACTATATGTTTTACGTAGTATTTAAAGTGCGTTTTTTTTTAAAGATAAAAGTCAAACTGACATTAGGTTGGCAATACAATGTAAAATTGTCAATGCTTTCAAATTTTCTATGTAGAAAAGGCTTGTGTTGCCAACATAGTTACTAAATTTTTGACTTGGGGAATTATCTTTAAAAAAAAAACAGATTTTACTCCAAAACGAAGTAGATTCTACATTTCGAAACTACCGGAAATTAGAAAATGCTTCATTGTGAAGTAAATATTGCGAAGAATATACTAATACTTGTAGTAGTAGCAGGTAGGTACTTCGTTTTTATTCATACCACCCCCTGTTTCAACATGCTTGAGAAGGAAGGAGTCATCAGTATTCATATTATGTGCACATTGCACCTTTATGCATTGCACATATGCATCACAATAATTTGATAAATTTGGGGACGGTTCATTCACCTTCTGATAAATTCATTTTCAGGTGTGCATCCCGCAAAAATGAAAAACGCAATCAGTAATCCCATTGGTCGGCCAGTTTATCTGAGAGTGAATAAACTGGGCTTTAAATAGTACATTAAAATACAAGTTTCATAAGACGTCATTTTATCGCACGAGCCCTATATTAGAAAACGAGCCGGAGGCGAGTTTTCTAAAGGGCGAGTGCGATAAAATGTCTTATGAAACGAATATTTTATACTATTTTTTCTATTTTGGTATTGTTTAGTAAAAAAAACCAATTTTTCTTGGAAATTTTATTCTCATATTTCCTGATTTCATAGTTTAGGTTGGTAACACTACATGCCAAATATAGAAATCTTCTATTATAAAATAGCGAATGACAGTTTGATGGCCATCAGTCAGTCAGTGTCACCAACCTCCGATAAGTAAAAAAGGAGTGTCACAAAGAGCTTCTTTTCGAAACTACTTTTAGTGTCGAAAAGACTTCGATATGACACCAAAATAGAAAAAAATAATTGAAACAAAAAATTGATGAAACCTAGAACCATTTCAAAATTAATGAGATATAAATACAATGAAAACAAATGGGTGTGTGGAAAACGTTGACCTACTCTATTTAAATTATGCACATGCACAAGGCACTATCAATGCAAATGCCTGATGACCTCTAAAATACTGGATTTGCGAGTGAATGGCAAACCAGGGACGTTTCCTACACTAAAAACACCCGAAATTCAGCAAAAATACTCCAAAAAAAATTCAAACGATAAATAAATAAGTTTTAAAACAAAAAGTATAAATTCTCACCTAATTTTGAAGGCTTTTATTCACTTTGAATTCTTCAAGCTCACAACACTTTCTACTTCACTTCTTTCACCGACGGCGACCTCAAAAGGAATAAACTGAATAAAAAAATGCAAACAAACAAGAATCCGAGACATAACATTGGACGTAACAGAGGCTAAAGCACGGTCTACACGCAACGATGATTTGCATGCGCAAGTAAAGCGTATTTACAGATAAAACGTTACAATATTAAGGTGCTTATGTAACTCGTAGCCAGGGGCGTCGCGTCGGGGTGGGGGGGGGGGGGGTGGGGTAATGGCGGTAATTGAATGAATGAAATCCTTTATTAAAGCATGTTATAAATATGGTACATTTTATAATTATTCTTAAATGCTAAAAATCGGGTACACTCACCTAAGCAATATTTCAAATATTGGTCCCGGAGAGCTAAATACTATATGTATAAAATGACTAAAGAGCGATCAAAATGTTAACTACATAATATAAATATACCTATATTACTTATGCTAAATAAAATTAAAATGAAATCAAAATGAAAATGCTTATAACTAGTCACAAACACAATGCAAGCAAGTTAAGGCATGCAACTGTTGGGGTATGTAAAAAGGTTTCTTCAACATAAATGTGCTTTTAGATCTTTTATAAATTTGGAAAAAGATTTTTCAGTTTTTAGGGCGTATGGAAGGTTATTAAATGTCTGAGAAGCTTCACTGAGTGGATTATGAAGAGCTATATTAGTTCTGATAGGTGCTAAATATATATCGTTTTGGTTTCGTATATTATATGTATGAAATTCGTGTGAGTACATGATTTTTGTATTACATTTTTGTTTTTTATTAATAATTTTATACACTAGTTTCGCCTGATCCAAACGTAGAATATCCCTTATAGGAGTCATATCTAATATTGTGTAAACCGCTTCTGTATGTGTTTGATAGTCCAGGTTAAATAATATTTTTAAGACCTTATTTTGAAGTGTTTTTATTTTATTAAAGTTAGTTAGATTGCATGTTCCCCAGACTGGCAGGAGGTATCTTAACACAGACAGAAAGTAGGAATTGTATACTTTAAGCTTTGCATCGTGACTCATGAAGAATCTACATCGGTATATGGCACCTGTTAAGGGAATTATTTTATTTTTAATATGCTCTATATGTGGCCGCTCCAGTTTAAACCTTCGTCCAGTACAAGTCCTAGGTATTTAACAGTATTAATTTTTTCGATAGGTATGTTATTTATTTCTATATTCACATTATTAACGGTTTTGTTTTTTTGTTTGAATAGTATGTATTTTGTTTTTTCTATATTTATCTTAAGGTTGTTATGCAAAAGCCATCTATGATATTGTTCTAGGTCCCCGTTGACTGTATCTACCAACTGTTCTAAGTTTTTGCCACTGTATAACAAAACTGTATCATCGGCAAATGTGTAATATTGCGCCTTTAATTGTGACAGTTGAAGGCTCATGACAAATATGGAATAGAGAAGCGGCCCCAGAACAGACCAATTTCAACGTTGCCAAATCAACCCTTTTTTAACCAAAAATTTTTTTGAGGTACCCCACAATTGTTGGTTAGAGTTGAACTGGTTATTCCATCTATAGTTATATATTGTTTGCGATCCAATAATTATGTTTTGATTAGGTTCAATAATACACCTCTGAAGCCAATACAGCTGAGTTTCTCTAGCAGTCGCTGGTGACAAACAACATCGAAAGCCTTGCGAAGATCTACGAAAACACATACTATGACATTTCCTTTGTCCAGATCCTCCGACAAGTAATTCATTAGATCTAAAGTTGCACTTAATGTGCTGCTGTGTTCCAGAAATCCATATTGATCTGGATCAACTGTCACATATTTACCCAGAAATCCAAGCATTCTCACTTTCAACAACAGACAAAATTACCCCCCAGGATCCAATAATCAAGGGAAAAATCACGATGCCCAAAAGAAAATACATTTTTTTTTTGTTTTATCTTCCTCACTAAGGAAATAATTGTTCTAGGAAAGTAAATGACCTTGAAATTTGCAAAAAATTTCGCCTGCGGCGCGTTAGCGGGGGCTCGCATCTTCCCATTACCCCCCCCCCAGACTGCAAGTCACGCGTCGCCACTGCTCGTAGCAACGTCGTTATTCAACGATTGTCGTTATCTAACGACTTTTTCGATTCAGTAACTTTCGGTTGTCGTTATTGTAACGATAAAATGGACGCAAAAGCGTCGTAAGATTACTCAGTGGCCCTCGTTTGAAGCATAACGATCGTTACAGTTGCATACTGGTAGTGTTTTTAGTATATTTAATTGGCGATTTTGATTGATAATGGATCCTGGAAATGAAGTTCGCAAACGGCAAGAGATTACTTTTATCAAATACAAATAGGAACTGGCTGAATTGCCAGAGAAAGGTTTTCATCAAATGTTTAGACTTTTAGACCAGACCATACAACGAAACTGCTCAGTTTTTTCACACAATTGTTTTTGGCAAAAGGAAGTTATCACCGTTACCAGAAACTACTTGTTTCTAGTCGATTTACAGCATCATCAATGTTACCTGCTATATTCATGAGGTGGTAGATGCACTTGTGGACAATTTCGCGTACGTGTATATTCGATTCCCTCAGAATCCATAAATGCACCCTATTCAAGTAGGGTGGCACGAAGTAGTACCGTAAGGTGGGGTTAATTGCAACATTTTCAAAATTCTTTTGCCGATACCTTCTTTATTTTTTTTTCGAATTTGACCTAATTGGTGCCAAAGTTTTAGTCTTGTGGTCTAGTATCCGATTCTAACAAAAAAATTTGAACAACATTATTATTTGATATATATTTTTTAAAAAAACTGGGTGTTGCAAGTTGAACACCTGCAAGGGGATACTTGCAACAAGTGGTTTTTTTCAGTAATAATTGTATTTAGGAACGCGTGTTAACTTACTTGCAACACAAAATATTTAAAAAAATAAATTTGGCTAACTTTGGCCAATTATTTTGGTCAATTTTTCCTCCTCTTCCTTTGGAAATACAGACTGCCTACCAGGATCAAGGGGAAACAAGTTTCTTCTTTTTCGAGAAAGCGTTGATGGAATTATCAATAGTAATATAACTAAGTAGAGCAATGGAAATTATTGATAATTTTTGGGAAATTTGCTCGAATGCATTTTTCAGTTAAAAACGCATGATTATTTGTGAAAAAAACAGTTCTAGGTTTTTTTTACAAATCACCCTGTATCTCGGAAACTAATAATAATTTGGCAACAACGAAAATATATTTCAAATACCCTTTGAAAATGGCAACTTTTTTCTAATTTAACTGCCCTCGTATCTCTTACCGTTTCTGATATACCAATGGTGGCCTATGGTGTTTTGGACACCCTGTATACAAGGTTGTGTCCGTGGTAAAAAATTTAGCTTGTGGCATCCACAATACTTAATATAGGTAATTAAATTTCATCCAAATATCACGGGTAACCAATTTCCATTTAAAGAAAGAACCATTCCATTATTATTATAATCCTTATCATATCAATAATTGATAAAGCATAGAGCAGAGGTCTCGGACTCATTAAATTTCAATTTTCTGTTTTAATCTTTATGATAGACTTTCACACTCCATTGAAACATAGTGTTATCAACACCGATTTCTGTAACTAATATTTCTTCAGGCTTTATCAATCTAGAAATATTTTAGCTTTGACATTAATTTATTTTTATTTAGTGTTTTTCTGAAGTCCCATATTCACTGCATATTACCAAGTACTGTTATCTATAATTATTATAAGAATGTATGTCTTATCTTATAGTTAACCATTTATTTCCTGTTTTCATAATCTGATGACGCAAAATACAAAAACAAAGTTATGTTGTGTCATCAGTTTATTGCGAAAATGCGAAATAAAGGCTTGTGCTGCCAACATAGTTACTAAAATTTTTGACTTGGGGAATTATCAATAGTAATATAACTAGTGCAATGGAAATTATTGATAATTTTTGGGAAATTTGCCCGAATGCATTTTTAGTTGAAAAAGAGCACGAGTGCACGTAGTGCACGAGTGCCTTTTTCAGTTAAAAACGCATGAGTGCAAATTTGTCGAAAATTATAAATATATTTCCATTGCACGAGTTGTATTTAATGAGAGAATTTCATAAATCAAAAATTTAAATTTTTTGTCAAAAAATGTCATAACACCAGTTTTCGCACCAGTTAGTATGCAATTATCGCGTAATTACAATCTGATTGGTTCAAATCAACAATCAAAACATGTCAATTTATTGTTGGAATACCAGTTTTGACAGATGTATGAAATTCTCTTTAAAAAAAAACAAACTTAAGTTCGGATGAATCATTCTGCACATGCGCGTATTATATAACGCGGTTTCGTTTTCTCATAATCGTAATCGAACTGTGTTGACAGTGTTTTATCCATGTAGTTTTATCTAAATAGTTTATCTAGAACTATTTAAAAACAAAGGTGTTTTCTCGAGTCTCAAATGTTTTAAAACGTTTTTCAAAACTGGTTCAAAACAGTTTCACTAACTTCTCGGCGCGAGAAAATGGTTTTAAAACGAGGATTGGATATTGGATTATTTCGAAACTGTTTGAACCAATGTTGATTTCATGGGCATATCGCGAGAATATAATAGGTCTGTTTCTGCAGAAATCTCAAACCAGTCGGAGTGAATTTCATTGGTTGAAACTAGTTTTCTGACTGTTCGAACCAAAGGCGTATTTTAGCGAGAGTTTTAACCCAGTAGTAAAACAAAGCTTATCATAAAAATTGCAAAAACGTTCTTCATTGGTCAAAGGTCTCAGATAAATGAACCGCTTTCGGGTGCAGAGTGTGAAGCTCCTAGAACACTTCACACCTCTGTCATACTCCATGCGTTTTGCACTCGAACGATCGAAACCGAACAAGTTAACTGTAGCCGGAGTACTTCGGAGTAACTCGGGAGCGCTCAAACAAAGGGTGGCACCCGAAAGCAGCTTCCTGGATTCAACTCTTCAGACTTTCAACTCAATGGATTCAACCCAAGTAGGCTGTTCATTTGAACTGATGCTTTTCTTGCTTCAAGCAGATCTCAGCAGTAGCTGATCGGCATTTACTTGTCCCATAACTCCCATATGATAAGCTCATAAATAGCAGCTCCTAGCAGACCTTCCTGAATTTTCGAGCAGGTAGCAAGTATGTACCGTTGTCGTCACCAAAAGTAAACTGGCACAGCATCCACCCAATTGACCTTTTGTTTGGACGCCATATTGCGGTGCGCGAACATAGTTGCCAACAGTAGAGAAAAAAATTACTAGCGTTCTGTCAACTTTGAAATCCAAAGTTAGTGAATAAATTACATTTACAATTTAAATTTGCCGCCTAATACGAATGTTTTTGGAAAGAAAAGCCGTCAATTTTAGCTTGTATTGGGCAAAATAGAAAAAATAAAATATCTAGTTGACAGCCCGCTAGTAATTTTTGGTTTTCTTGTTTTGGCAACTATGTTCGCGCACCGCAATATGGCCTCTAAACAAAAGGTCAATTGACCTTTTGTTTGGACGCCATATTGCGGTGCACGAACATAGTTGCCAAAACAAGAAAACAAAAAAAAACAAAAATTACTAGCGGGCTGTCAACATTAAAAACAAAAGTAACTAAATGATTGATATTGGTATGGGTTAAGATGGTATTATGATGGCTTTTCTTTTCAAAAACATTCGTAATAGGCGGCAAATTTACATTTTAAATGTAATTTATTCAGTAACTTTTGTTTTTAATGTTGACAGTACGCTAGTAATTTTTTTTCTTCTACTGTTGGCAACTATGTTCGCGCACCGCAATATGGCGTCCAAACAAAAGGTCAATTGACCTTTTGTTTGGACGCCATATTGCGGTGCGCGAACATAGCTGCCAACAGTAGAAAAAAAATTTACCAGCGTTCTGTCAACTTGAAAATCCAAAGTTAGTGAATAAATTACATTTAAAATTTAAATTTGCCGCCTATTACGAATATTTTTGGAAAGAAAAGCCATCAATTTTAGCTTGTTTTGGGCAGAATAGAAATAATAAAATATCTAGTTGACAGCCCGCTAGTAGTTTTTGGTTTTCTTGTTTTGGCAACTATGTTCGCGCACCGCAATATGGCGTCCAAACAAAAGGTCAATTAAATGGTTTGAAATGAATAACAGTAGAATAGACCTATCTATTTTACCAGACAAAGAGGTAATAATACGAAAACTTCATTAAATAAAAAAAGACACATAACGCTCATTGCGCAAGACGAGGCAAAACGTACCAAATTATGTTAGACTTACGTATAGCAATTTGTCCTTTTTATTTGCACAGGATAAAAAGGCAAGGAGAAAAACCGCGTGTTGTGCAACGTATTTGTCAATGAAAATGTCAAACATTTTTTGAATGACACTTGTCAATTTGAATATCAACTTTAGATTTATTCTTGTTGTCAGACCACGTGCAATGAACAAGGATAAAGAGATGCCCAGCGTGCAAAACGATCACCACACCTGTATTAGCTAGCCAATAAAAAGACATTGCCTCGTGTTGCGCGCGCATACCAGGTAAAAATAGATAGGTCTATTAGTCCAGGAGATTAATAATATTATTATGCATTATTTGTGTTCCAGATAATTTTGGTGACGAACCTTGAATGCAATATGCAACCGAGAATGAACAATATTTTTTCTACAACTGTCTGAAAATGGAGTTTTTCACACAGCGTGCGAAAAAGCTTTTTTCTACGAGCGTGCGTGAAACTTGACTTTTCCGCACGCATTTAGGTCATGAATGTATCACTTTTCCGCACTAGTGCGGAATTAGTATTCATGAAAGTATCACTTTTTCGCACCAGTGCGGAAATAGTATATTTCCTAACTAGTGCGGAAAGGACCACTTTTCCGCACGCGATTGCAGCCAAAAAAAAGCACTAGTGCGGAAAAGTGATACTTTCGCATCACCTATGCATGCGGAAAAGTACACTTTCCTGCACGCTCGTAGAAAAAATACTTGTCAGTGTCCCATTTCCAGATTCTTCGTGATTTGACATTTCAAGTCGAAATGAAATTCCAAAAATTACCAAGTTACAGCTTTTTAAGTGATATTATGAGATGTTCCACTTCATTTTCGGCTCAACAAACTGCGTCTGGAGCATCTATGATGACGTCACGCAAGGCAAGGCCTTCAACAGATATATGCAATGAACCAGACCGTCGAAGCCAAACGCAGGCGAAATCGCCTCTAGAAATCTCTCCCCACCAGTGATGGTAACACGTAGGGAATTTCCCTACAAGTAGGGAAAATTTGATGTTTTTTTTCTGGTGTAGGGAAGAGGGACAGAAATTCGAGAATTGGAAAAATGTAGGGAAATTCAGAGATTGGTCGTATATTGTATAATAAAGAACGAAGAAATATTTTGTCAACAAATACAAATTCCGATTATCGATCTAACTGCTCACGAGAAAAGACTGTTAGGACTAGGACAAGAACACTAATCTAATAGGACTGCTATACCCGAGTTTAAAACAGTATAGGTAAAAAAAAAAACGAATTCTATAAGAGTTATAATTTTGTTAAAATCGCCTTATCTACATTTAAAATCTAAGAAAAAACAAGCACAACCTGAATCACAAACATCCCATTGAGGCCTGCGAGTGACGTCACCACTATAAGCTGCTATGCTGCTAATAGTGGTGACGTCACTTGCAGGCCCTGTCGACTGATCTGTGACTAGGAGACATCCCTACTTTATCTGTTTGCGTTTGCATTTGGGCCACCCACATTACGTAAGAATACTTCTTTTTTTTATGTCCTAACTTGAAACAGGAAAACGAATAACGTGTAAAGATGAGCAAACCTAATATAAAATAAAACGTGGGGAAATTGTAGGGATTTTTTCTTCTGGTTGGTAGGGAAAATTAGGGAATTTTGTTTGTCTTAAAAGGGAAATCGTGAAAAAAATGTTACCATCACTGCTCCCCACCATCTTTACACTCGTACTCGGCTCGGCTCCGCCCTCTGTTTATTTATACCGGCACAATATCCGGTTGTTTGTTTTGGTAATTTTTTAATTACCACAAAAATCATCAGAGATAACAACAGTTCTTATCCTATAAAGTCAAACATGCGATAAGGTTTCCCTTCTGACCCTGAATTTTGGATATATACATCGAAGAAATACGCAATACACACGAATACAACAAAATTTCAAATTTAGCGCTCCTCGGCGTAGTAAAATAGACCCAAATACAAAATAGAATTTGTGCTTCGGGATTGGTCGAAATATGGAGATGCCGGAAGCCATTCCAGCTGGTTATCGGTCTGTTCAACCAAGAGTCCATGACCGTTTGCAAACTTTTAAAAATCATGGCGCATTTATTTTTTTAGTGTTTTCATTCGAAGATACATGTTCGGAAAATAACTCCAAGAGTATAATTTTGAAAGTTGTCATCTTAAATCAATTTAAAATCACGTGTAAAAAAATCTGTCGCATTTTGCGATCCGAAAGCAAACTGTCGAAGACTCTCGTGGGAACAGACCTCGGGGCACGTTGTCCTTTCTGCTTGCTGTTCGCCATTTTTTATTTCATTCCGTTTTATGTCGGCGTGGTCGAATGTTGAATGTATTACGGAAGCGTCGTGAATTGAAGAAAAGCCTGCTAAATTAGGTAAGAATTAATACTTTTTGTTCAAAACTTATTTATTTATCGTTTGAATTACGTTTTGAGTGTTTTTGTTGCGAAATTTCGGTATTTTTGGTGTGAAAAGCGTCCTGTCTCATGTCTGCCATGCCTTGGCAGTTTTCTAGGTCAGCCATTTGCATTGATGCTGCCTTGTGCATAATTAAATAGTCAATAGGTCAACGTTTTCCACCTATTTGTTTTTTTTTAATTATTATTTATCATTAATTCTCATCAATATTTTGAAATGGTTTTAGGTTTTATCAATTTTTTGTTACAATTATTTTTTTAATTATTTATCAAATTGTATGATTCATGTGCATTATAATAGGCCTATTTGGGTTTGGAAAAAGGACGGTTCTAGAACGGTTCAAAACAATCGTCCAGTTTATTGATCAACAAAATAACAACGACTCGACTATCACAAATTTCAATAATAAACTGTTCTAGAACCGTACTTTTTCCAAACCCGAATAGGCCTATTATTGACTCCTTCCAGTCCTTTCTTCCAAAACATGTTGAAACAGGTCATAAAGCTTTGTTTCTATTGTATTTGCACAAACTGAACTGACACATTCTACACCAGACGTGTTTGTTTATTAGGCAATTCAAACCACGTGACAATCAAGATGGCGTGGCGGCTACACATGAGCCAAAAAACACAAAAAAATATCTAGTTTCTACCCGATTTAATAGTTCAGGTTCCTAGTTAACAAATATTTTATTAAATAATCAAAATCAAAGTTGCAAACCAAACTCTAAGCAAAATAATTTAAAATAAGCATAAAAACATAATCAAAACAAACTTGCTTGGCCGCCACCCCATATTGAATTTTCCATTTTGACAGATGGATTGAAATGCCTAATTCCTGGGCCTGGATTCCGAACCCACGATTCGATAGTATCAATATCGTCTATTTATTATCATAATAGACAATACTATCGAATCGCGGGTTCGGAATCCAATCCCTAGTGTAGCTCATTCAATAATCAGCTGTTTCATTATTTCTGGTTTGGTGGTGCAGAAATTCCCTTTATCTCAAAACAGGGGCATCCTCATGAGAACGAATGTTCTGTCTTAGTCGCTCATTTTCATAACACTGACGAGGCAAAGCAATCATTCTCGTAGGAATGCTGTTTCCCAGTTTTGAGAATAGACATCCTGACACAGAGTCCTTATTCTTGATACAGGGGACCAGCATGCTCAAGAGAACAAAAGTTCTATCTTCGTCGCACAAAGACAAAGCAATAATTCTCAAAGAATTTTGAGAATATACGTATTCTTGTGATGTTGGCAGGTGTTTAAAAATTTCGTCTATTTATATGGCTTGCACCCATTCTGCATACACTTGGTGTAACTTACGGCCATTTGCACCGCTACAAAGGATATTCAATCCCAGTGGATCTTTGAATGTGACTCTTGTAGAAACAAAAATCGCATTCAAAGCTCCGCTTAGATTTAACATCCTTTAAGTGATAGTAGTGCAAATAGCCAATAGGAACGCAAATAAACAAAACTGGTGATTCGTGTTCTTTGATCAAAGACATGCATCAAGTTTGGTATTTTATTTTATCATTTTTTGGTTCTAATTGACAATATTTTATTCTTTATCTAACATGTCTTCATTACATTAACAATTAGTTTTTAAATTATTTAAAACGATTTTATCAATTATACCGGGTATCTACGAGATCAGTTTCGCGCTGGCATTTGCTGGTTTTTTTTTCAAATCAAATCAAAATAAGCTTTATTGTCTAAAAAATACCATTGTTTTTCATTGACAAAGCAAAATTCTTATTACTAATTATAATAATAATAACTTTTTAGTCGTCAGTATAAAAATAAAATAAAAAACAAACGATATAAAAACAACAAAGAGAAAAACATCTATGTGGTAAAAGTAAAAAACAAACTATAATTCCAAAAACTTTTTGAAAATTCAAAAATTTTTGTGACTGTTTTGTGAAGGGAAGGCCAAGACGCACTCAGCGCATTGTATTCTATAACTCAACATGTACCAAAACCTATAAAAATTATACCCTATAGTTGGGGAGCTGGCGTCAAAAACATGCAAGAGTTTTCGCAAGGCGGATATTTTCAAAATAGGTCGTACTTTAGTGCTAGAATGCTAGTGTACAGTCAGCACTCACAGTTCCGGGACAGCTGGCTCTGGGACGCGGACAAAGTTGTAATTTTAAGAAGCATCTAAACTGTTTTCTCAAAGCTCAAAGTTTATAGAAATTTTGCACATTATCTGTTTGAAGGTCACAGATAACGTATGTAAATCGTCAGACGTCTAGTTCATTGCAAAAAGGGGGTCAGACGTCCTCAAAGTTCTTATTTTATGGCATTTTCTTCAAATATATTTGTCAAATACCTGCAAAAATATATTTTGACAGGACACCGAAGAACTCCTTCCACACAAGGAGGGGCTCCGGAATAGCTCCGTGGCGTTTCGCGTGTTTGTTGCACCCGAAGTGCTCAAGCCCCAATCCCTCTCTTCGGTCTTTTCCTCTCACACATCATCTCACGAGCGGTTCCTTTCAAAGGGTAGAGTCGAGTAAGAGCGCTAATGTTTCAAGCTCTCGAAAGAAATACAGCTATTGCGTTTCTTCTAGCTCTGGACCAGCTGGACATTGGATTTTATTTAATACGAAATACGAACCAAACCAGCAAGAAAAATCCATAGGTTATGTTGTACAGTGCAAACGATTTTTTCGCGAGACGAGACGAGACCATTATTTATTCATTCATCAACTTGTTACATACTTAATTTAAGTAGCAACTTTTCTGATCCACTTTTTCAAAGCATCCAAATCCACAGAATTATTTTTATTGAAGGCAAACGATTCTGCAAACTCAACTTTACAATTAAGTGATGCGAAGGTGAATTCTTTTGATGAATCCCCAGATCTATTTTTACTGGTTTCTTTGCTGTCCAACTGTTTCAATTGATTTAGTTCCGAGTTGCGGAGAGTGTTGAGTTCTTTCTCTAGCATTGTCTTTATAACACTGGCACCTTTAGCTAAAGTTTGGTCTTGTTTGTTGCACAAAATTAGGATATTTGGCCTCTTTTTAAGTACAACAGGGTCACTTAAAATATTATTCAAGACATTGGCAGCATCTCTTATGTTTTTAGCCAAACTGGTAGAGTCAACAACGTAAACAATCCCTTTGGAATTTTCCTTGTATTTTTCAAAAAATTGTTGTCTTATACTGTGAAACCCTGGGAGATCAACTACAGTAATTTTTTTCCCATCAATATTACATTCTTCCACATTATCCTGGCTGGAGGTGTAAGTTAGTACATGCTGATTATGAAGCAATTGAGAATGAATCAAAGTTTTACCAGTATCATTGAGACCAGTGAGCAAAACGAATCCTTTGCTGCTTTTGAGTAATCGACGTAAAATAAACAGAACTATTGTTGTGAATATCAGAAGAACTGCAATCAATATTGGGCTAAAGCTGTCTTCCACATTTGAATTCATTTTTTTGATAATTGAAATTGGAAAATTACTAATTACTGCTTATTTTAATTGAATTTTTAACTATTTTAACTTTTCCAAATTTGCAAACAGCTGTGGGTTGACCGGTTGACTTGTGTTGAGACTCGCGGCATCACTAAACTTTTCTATTATCGTCAAAAAGCCAAAAAAAATAAAGGAAACGACGTTACTGGGTAAATCCGTACAGTACTTTTCACATTTTGGCAGGCTTTTTCTTATGATTGTCTATTCGAGTACTTCTCCATGTTATACTTATACAATTCTCCATCTTGCTCTACCACTAAAACGAACACAATATTGAATTTTTGGTCGTAATTAATTTTTTTCTATTTTGGTGTCTTATCGAAGTCTTTTCGACACTAAAAGTAGTTTCGAAAAGAAGCTCTTTGTGACACTCCTTTTTTACTTATCGGAGGTTGGTAACACTGGCTGACTGATGGCCATCGAACTGTCATTCGCGATTTTATAATAGAAGATTTCTATATTTGGCATGTAGTGTTACCAACCTAAATATATGAAATCGAAATATGAGAATAAAATTTCCAAGAAAAATTTGTTTTTTTTAATTAAACAATCCCAAAATAGAAAAAATAGTATAAAATATTCGTTTCATAAGACATTTTATCGCACTCGCCCTTTAGAAAACTCGCCTCCGGCTCGTTTTCTAATATAGGGCTCGTGCGATAAAATGACGTCTTATGAAACTTGTATTTTAATGTACTATTTTATGACCAAAAACCGTGAAACTGAAACGGAAAAATAGAACGCGATCTATTTCATGAAACACGTTTCAAGTAATAAAAATGTTTCTCGCGCATGAAACAAATTTGTTTCATTGGTGGGTGGACTTGTATTTGTTTGTTCTTGTTCTATTTTCATGAAACGAGTTTCACGTTTTATGTTTCATGTTTCACGTTTCATGTTTCTTTGATGTGCGGCCTTAGGGAGGCCATCTCAAAAACTAGTCATAAGATTGAGTTGTGCCCATGGGAGTTATTGTTCAGAAAGGTGAGATCTATAACATACTAAAATTTGGTTAAATTGAGATATTTAACTTCGTCCGACATCGTAACTGGGTTTCCCTGAAGGTCAAGAGGTCCAAGTCCCTCCATTTTCCTTCTTTTGGTGAAGGAAACAATTGTTAAACACAGTTAGTCAACCTCCCAATAATTGTTGGTCTGATAATAGTGAAGAAGTGTCATGATATTTTTTTTGTAATATGTCCATACCAGGTGCACAATTATTTTTTATTTCGCTTATCTCTGTATTTCTTCTATGTTTGTTTCTTCAATTTCAATAATTTCTCGTTCTTCTTCTTCTGTGAAAGTCAACCCTGGTCTCTGGTCTATCTTTGAAGCCAATATTTGCCCTATGCTTGAAAAATAGTAATTCATTTCTTTGGCCAACTCTGCACCATTGACATATTGATCCACCATTTTGTTTTTAATTTTATTGATCTGTTTTTTTTTTCTAATTCACAGTTCGTTAATTATTTTCCATGTCTTTCTACCATCACCTTGTACTTCTTGCAGTTTTCTTTCCGTGAACTGTTTGTGTAGCTTGATTCTCAATTTGTTTACTTCAATTTTTAATGCCTTGTATTCATTTCCTGTGTAATCATTCTGTATTCGTCTGCATCTCACCATTAAATACTCATTTATGACCCATTGATTATTGTTTCTTATTTTGAATTTTGATGCTTTTTTCTCTTGTACAATCCTTTTTTATTTTAATAACCGTATTATTAGAGAGATCTCTGAAGCTGCTGATCTGATTTCTCGTATGTATTTTTTGATTCCACTGCTCTTGTGTCTATACCTATGTTTTTAACTAATTTCTGTTTGCTACTGTGTTAAATCCAAGGTTAAATCCCTTTTTTCACTTCAAAATACATAATTTTGTTATCTGATGATACCTTGTGATCTGTGTAGTTTCATGCTGGACTAAATATTTTAATTTGTTATCACAATGATCCAATATAGATGCAGTATTTTGTATTGTTTGTGTTGCATTTTGTTAGTTTATTATTGTGAAATTTAAAACTGTTCATTACAATCATGTTTCATAGTCATTTGTGGCTCTTGAGCTTTCAAGCAAGTCCAAATTGATGACTCCAATAAAGATGCAAAGGCTCTTTTGGTTTTCTAACAGTTCTACGCCCGTATTCATAGTCGATGCTCAAGGTTGCGTCTTGGCTCAACTACAACTTGACGCCATATTTGCGTTTCCAAACAGCACGGAACGATGCTCACAACTGTCAAAAATCAGACCTTGAGCCAAGCACCCGTATATGAATATCGGGCTTTAGTGGTGGTCTGTAGACATCATAGATTGCCAAGTTCTGTTGTGGCAAATAAACTGATAATATTACAATCGTCAAGTGATACTGAAATTTTGCTATTTAGGACATAGTTTAGCACATCTATTACATATATTCATGTACTTGATTCCACCCCTTGGGTCTCGGCAATCATGCACAGATATGTAGGAAGGTATATTAAAGTAACTTTTTTCATTAGAATATATCCATGTTTCTGTAAGAACTATATTGTTGAGATCATCAAGTTTGTTTTGTGGGCTTCTTATATTAACACGTTGAGTACCAACAATGCTTTAACCAGTTCTTTACTGCTGTACCGCAGTGGATAACTTGCAAACGGATTGACATATTGATATGAAACTAAGACAGAAATGACTAATAGGAGTTCTTAATATGACTTTGACAGCTCTGACCTTGAGCCACTATAGTGGCCACTGGCACAGCCTCCTACATTTAACAAGCCATGAAGTTAAAAAGGCAACACCGCAATCTTACCGCCAAGTGGTGCTGGTGGTGTTTGTTTGTATAAATATATATTTTTTATTTTATTAATATGAATCACAAAAAATGCATAATTTATTGTACTAAAGGGCCAAAAACAGTAATTCAATGAATAATTTAACTATTTGTGTAAATAAGAACAGTAAATAATTGATTTAAATGAATATATTTCTAAAGTGTTATGTTTCAGTATGTCTTTTGAAAATCTAACTTTTTCTTTCTTCGGGATTTTTTCGGAAGGCAAGTCCATTCAAATACTTGAGCTGATTTTCGAAAATAAGAGGTACCTGGTACCTACTTTTAAGAGTTGGACGTTTTAGTTTGAACTCTCGAACTACGCCTTTATCCTTGTTTGTTTCAAATCTAATTATTTCGGTTTCTTCAAAATGCTTACAACACACCACAGAATTTTTCGTTATTGTATAATCTCAGGTATAATTATCTTGGTGTATTCCTTTCATCCACATTTTTTGCACTTCAGAATTTTTTTGGAAATAAAAATGTTTGCATTTCTTCAGTTTTTAAGGAACTCCTAATAGTTCGATTTGCACCCAGGAACACAGTAGTTTCATGGCATCTGGAACAAGTTTAAATATCTTAGGTAATATATCGAGACCTATGCTCTTGCAGACAAATATTAATATTGTTTTTATTGTTTTACCTTACCTTACCTTCATTTTTGCTCCTGTACTCATTTGCTAAAAATTAGCAATCAAAGCACAAAGGAACAGGTATCAACTAAATATGGGCAATATATTGGTGTGTTTCTATCCACTTTTTCGTCAATAATGCCCATAAAAATACTAAATTGCAACAATACACAATGAAAGCAATACACAGAAACACATAACCCAATAACAAAATATCACCATACGCGACGTTGCCGTCATTTCCAACTTCATGGCTTGTTAACTATAGGAGGCAGTGCCACTGGTATATTTTGAGAAAATTTAAGCCTGATGTACCAATATGGCCATTATAATGGCCATGAATAGACTAAGAATTTTTGGAAAAAAATATATTTTTAAGGAAATACAAAGAAAACTTTAAACAAAAATCATATTCAATTCAATTCAATTCATTTATTTATGCCAAAATACAGTACAAACCTTAATACAAAGCAGAGTAAACATAAAACATTAGAGTACCTATGCTACCCACGTTCGTTATAATCGGTATACCCTATCCTGCTGAGAACACAAAATGTTCTGTTTGCAGGCTTGGCGCGTGAACATGAAAAAATCACAATTCACCTCTACACTTAACAACAAACCTAAATAATACAATATAAATAAAGTACCTATTTGTACCTATATTTTATTATACTTATATAACAATAATTCAAAAAAAAAAAAAATAACAAAACAAAAAAATCAAAACATTAACGGGTTTGAAACTCCTTTCGGAAATATGTAATAATTACCAGGGCCGGCATAATATTAGGTTATTTATATAAAAATTTTAATTTCTAAATTTCTTTGACAGATCCAGGACTTTATCTTATTTTTGAGAGCTTTTGTTGAGAAGTTATAATTTTTTAGGTCATCATCTAGTAAGTTATATATTTTTATAGCAATCCATTTTGTGCTTTTTTTGCCTACTTCTAGCTTTGTTTTCATTACTGGAATGCTCTTATTTCTAGTTATTTGTTTTGTATGTAAATATTCAGATTTCAAGTTCTTATAATGATTTGTTGTAATGGCTTTAAGGTAATATATTTGTCTTATTTTTAGTAGATTGTTTTCTTTATAACATTGATCGAGTTGTGCCGATGGCTTTTTAAAAATTAGCCTAACAATTCTATTTTGAATCGATTGGAGAGAGTTTATGACATTACCATATGCGCTTCCCCATGATATTATTCCATATGTTGCTTTTGATTCAAATAGCGCATAATAAATAGATATTAAAGTTTTTGCATTAAGGAAGTTTCTTAAATTTGCAAAAATGAATAACAAATATCTCAAATTTTTTTTAAGTTGTTCAATATGTTCTTTAAAATTCATGTTACAGTCTACAAATATTCCAAGATATTTAATAAATTGTTCTTTGCCTAACTCTCTACCCGTACAAGACCCTATGTTACAGCCATCATGTATCACAATATTTAACTTATCAGGTGCCTTATCTTTATATGTGCTAAATAAAATATATTTAGTTTTTTCGATGTTTAATGATAAACCATTTTCTCTAAGCCAGTTTGCTACATTATTAATAACATTATTCGCTCTATTTTCCAGACCCAGCCAAGTGCCCTCACTCATTGTTATCGCTGTGTCATCAGCATATGACATAAATTGGGCATTGGGATCCAAACTTAATAAGTCATTGACAAAAATAACGAAAAAAAGCGGGCCTAGGATGGTACCCTGAGGGATACCGATCTGCACCACTAATTCCTCACTATATACTTCATCTAATTTCACCACTTGTTTCCTGTTTGTCAAGTAATTCTTCACTAAGTTGAGAGCCATGCCACAAATGCCGAAATTCTCTAGCTTCATAAATAGTTTATTATAGTTAACTGTATCAAAGGCCTTGGCTAGGTCCAGAAATACAGCTACAGTCGGCTTACTGCTATCCAAATTTTCAAAAATACTGTCAGAGAACAATTGAAGAGCATCATTAGTGGCCATGTTTTTTCTAAATCCAAACTGATTTTTGTTTAATAATTTATTCTTTTCTATAAATTTAATGAGTCTAATATGCAAAACTTTTTCAAAGATTTTTGCGAGGTTCGAGATTAGCGAGATTGGTCTATAGTTGGATATAATGTCTTTTTTGTTTGTTTTATGAATTGGAACGATCTCAGCTTTTTTAAAGTGGTCAGGTATTTCACCAGATACAATACTCAAGTTTATTAACTCTGTAAGTGGTGGTGTCAGAAAATTCACCAGCGTTTGTATTACTTTGACTGGGATATTATCGATTCCACCAGCCGCTTTTTTTTTAAGATTATTTATGATGTAGGCTATTTCAAAATTATCCGTGAGAGACAAAAAAATAGAATTGATATTTATGTTATTGTTATTATTTAGACGCCGAGAATTGTTTACCTTAATTTTTTTTGCCATCTCTATACCCACAGTATTAAAATATTTGTTGAACATATCTGCCATCTCCTTCTTATTTGAAATCGTTTTGTTATCAATAACAATATGGTCAATTGGATTTTTTTTCGATTTAGATCTACCTAATCTCTCATTTACATATGTCCAGGTGGTCTTAGAATCTATACAATGGGTTTTTACATAATCCTGTTCAGATTTTATTTTAGCAATTTTGATTAGTTTCTGAAGTAATTTGAAATAAGTTTGGTAACGATTTTTCTTTAAAAGATTGTTTTTGTCCTGAGTCCATTCGCGATATAATCTATTTTTATGTTCGCATGACGTCATAAGTCCCTTGGTAATCCAATTTTTCCTTTTAGTTGTTTTTTTCCTTCCGTTTAACTTTCTTGTAGATAACTTTATAACTTCCTGTACTTGCGTCACTAACTTGTTTGTGCTTTCATTCACATTATCATTTATTATGTTAGTCCAGTTTAAATTTCTAGCTACACTTTTTAGTTTTTTATAGTCTATATAATTAATTATTGTGTTTGTTTCGGATCTTTTGACACCTAACCTAATTAATAAAAAAGTTTGATAATGATCTGTAATCATGTGTTTATAAACAAGCCCTTTTACCTCTTCTTCATTCACATTCTTTACAAAAGCATGATCTATACATGATCCTCCAGACTCATTTGGCCTGGTTACAGTTGTGACAAGAGGAACATATCTTTTTTCATACAGAAAGTTAAGATATTCACTACCATAAAAGTCAGGGTTTTGAATATCAATATTTAAATCACCTATGATATAATGAATATCGCTGTTTTTAAAAGATTTAAGATAATGTTCAAAATTATTCAGAAAATTGATTTTACTTACTTCTTGCGACCTATAAAGAGATGTTAAAAAAGTCTTTTTTGTACCTACAGTAACTAGATTTTTCAGCTTTATTTTGTGTGCCATATCTTAAAACACGGATGAATTTATAAACTTGGACTTCCATCGCACTTTGGGCATTGGTATCTGGTCCTTTTTCTTATCTTATTTCTGAAACTTTGTTGGCCCCTCAGTTGACACTGTTTGGAGGGCGTTGAATTTTGTGTTTTTTTCGGGATTGGTTCTAGCGTTGTTCTAGGTAATGAAACGAATTCGGATCAGGATGCATTGCAGTTTTTCCGTATTTCTATTTGCTTCAAATATTTTGATAATCCATTTCTCTGAAGGTATGTGAAGCAGTTTGCCACTCCAGAATGCACAGAAGCTGCCTAAATCGAACAAGACACTTATTCAGCACAAGTGAAAATAAACGACTAATGCAGGTACTACATGGCCAATATAGTGGCCATGGTGGGTGGGGGCATTTTGCCAAACCCTCTCTGTGTACCACACAACTAAATAAAACCTTCAATTCAATAATCGTTGAAAAAACTTCAAAATACCGGCCACTATTGTTGCCGCGGTACATTTTTACAACATTTTGTGGCCATTATAGTGGCTGGTCGTATTCAACGTGTTAATATATAAAATATTCAGATTATCACAAGCTATTGGACAGCAATGTATTTTCATTTGTGTACATATTTAACAGATTTTCGCTAAGGCTTCTTGCTGATTTAGATCCGCCCGGCATTTAACTCGTGTTGGTTTGGGCTTTTCTTCCTTTTCTAGTTTGCAATAAACACTGACCCATAATTCGATTCTTTCTTCATTTCTCTGGCTTTTCTTAAGAGCAAGTAATTCTGCTTTGTCTAAGCTTCATTGAAAAAATATTCTTCGCTCCTACTAGACCACATTTGTTCAGGTTTATTTCCTTAAGTTTTCTAATTTTTTTCAATATTGCACTCTGTGTTTCATTGGATTTTAATTTCAAGAGTATGGAAGCATCATCCTTGTCGTTAATACAGAATATTTCTTGTCCATCTCCTACATTCAGGTGCATTTTCAACCGTTCTTCTGTGTCACTCCGTTTTTGTCTCAAGGATGTGTTCTCATCTTTTAGCTGTCTTATTTCATCCATCATGTCTTGAAACTTCTTTCTGTTCATTGAAGCTATCAGACATGAATTGGACCGACTAAATACAGGAAAATTCAAACGTGGACAAAATACAGGAAACGTGCCCCTGTTCAGTTCTCATTGGATGAACATTCCAAATATATTAGCTACGGTTTCAAGAGAATAATTTATCCTAGAAACGATTATTGACAAAGAAGCTCCTATCAGATTCTGACTGGAAGTTTGGATACAGAATCAGAATATCTTTATTCTAAAGAAACATACAAAAGAGAATGTAAAAAAAAATCAATTGTTGTTATAGTGTCAAAACATATAAAGTTAAATTTGAGTTTCACAACGATAAGTATTCTTCAAATAAAAGAGTTAAAAAAAAGAACATTTTAAAATTTTAAAAAATACAGTAAATTCGTTAAATTTGTTTTTTTTCTTGTTTGAAATAATTTTCAGTTATTCATTGCCTAGCCTTTTCCATGTTCATGCTTTCATTTATCATCCATATTGAACAAGCAGGCACACCTCACTAAAACTCCTGTAACTTATGTATTTGAATTTTTAAATAATTCTGACTAGCAATATCTGTTATAGTCATCAAAATGGAGTCTAGAGGCAAGGGAAGGGGAAATCGAGGGCGTGCAAGAGGAAACGTACCTCAGCCGCAGGATGTAACGGCGCCGGGGCAAGCTCGTCCTCCTCAAGGAGCGCCGCAGGGTGCGCGTGGAGGTAGACCAGCGGGCCCAACTCCCCAAGGCCCACCAACGCAACCAGGACCGCCTGGTGCGTGGGGTGCAAGGGCCCAAGGACCCCCACCACAACAACAACAGGCGGGATGGGCTGCCAGGCCACTGGCACCGGAAATTCCTCAACCCGCATCAGTTACTTTGGGCCGGGGCTCCAGGCAGGGAGGCTCCGAAGCAAGACAAATTACAGATGAGACTATGCAAGGTAAATTTTGGCTTTTTTCATGACTTACATTTTTCTACACTTACTTTTATGCACTTTAATGATTAAAAGTGCTCCCTCTCTTAAGGGAGTAGAGTGGGTCTTTTAATCCCCATGATAAAATTTCACTTTATTTCCCAAGAAATTTTAATCCCTAGGGATTGAAAGTGTACAGGAAAAAATAATAATAATAGAACCTACATTATACACCTAAGGATTGATTGAAAGTGTACTTTCAATCCCTCTAAAGTACATAAAATAGTGTATACACCATACACCTCAGGACTAAAGTGTATTTTAATCCCTCAACAAAGTTTGTCTCTGGATTAAAAGTACCACTTTAGTTCCTAGGTGTATAATGTACTATTTTTTTCCTGACCATGCTACACCAAGTTACTAGATTTTTACTCGGTCAAGTTTTAAAATTAGGATTCCGTGGAACAGGAACCTGCTCTTTTTTTCACAGTTGGTGGGTACTGCAGGGCTCTTCGGACTTGATAGGGGATTTCTTTTGAGTGATTCAAGTTTTGATAGGAAAATAGTATATATACCTATTCCAGAATCTACAGAAGATATTTTAACATAGATAATGTGGTATAGGTAGGTTTGATAAGCTAATGTCACCTGAATTTACTGAAGGGAATTCTCTGAGATTCTTTACCTCAGTAGTAGAAGTGAGGATGATTTTCAAAGGAATATTAAACAAGCATTCGGCAGGTTACGATGGAATCTCAGTAAGAATATTGGAGTGCTTGCCTGAGCCTGCATTGCATGCACTTGCATGTTCCATTAATCGGTCATTTGCGGTGGGTGAATTTCCAACATGTTTAAAGAATGCTGTTGTAGTTCCGTTGTTTAAGGGGGGTGATATGAGTGATCCTTCCAACTTTCGTCCTATTTCCCTTTTATCTACGCTTTCGAAGGTCATTGAGAAAATAGTGAAGAAGAGATTGATGACCTTTTTGGAAAATAACAAAATATTAAATCCTGTCCAGTTTGGTTTTCGCTCGGGTAAAAATACAGATGATGCCATTTTCTCCTTGCTCCATCAGGTTTATGAAAATATAAATGGTGGCGATGCTGTTGCAGCAATATTCTGTGATTTTTCGAAAGCATTCGATTGTGTAGATCATGGAGTGTTGCTGCGGAAGCTGAGACACTATGGGTTTGGGGAGCTTACAATGAAATGGTTTTCTGCCTATCTTAAGGGAAGAATGCAGGTGGTAACAGCGAATGGCGAATACTCTGCTCTGCTGGATCATTCACTACAAGAGGCGTTCCACAAGGCTCTGTTCTCGGACCCATTTTATTTTTGTTGTATTTGAATGACTTAGCAGCTTTAAAGATTCAGGGTTCATTTACATTTTTTGCGGATGATACTAGTCTTCTTTGGCATGGTAAAAACAGAGATGACCTCAAATTAACTGTTGATAGGGACCTGTGTGAAGTTAAGCTTTGGTGTGATGCAAACTTGCTCTGTTTTAATGTAAATAAAACCAACATGATCACCATTGGGTTTTGCTACAATGATTTGTATTTGAATGATGAAATTGTAGAAAATAGGCCCCTAACAAAGTTTTTGGGTCTCATCATACAATAAACTTAAATTTGAGGACCATATAAGGGCACTAAGTAAAAGGTTGTCTGGTGGTTGCTTTGCAATCAGAATAGTTTCCAACGAGCTTAGTTGTTCTACCACAAAAATGGTTTATCACTCACTATTTGAATCTCTTGTGAGATATGGTATAGCTTTTTGGGGATTTATTAACAGGCAACAGTTTAACTCCATATTTGTTTTGCAGAAGAGGGCAATTCGTTATTTGTGTAAAGTTGCAGCTCGCGAACATTGTCAACTGCTATTTATTAGGGAATTTTTTTTAACTGTACCATGTTTGTTCGTTTTAGAAACTGTGTGTCTTGTGCACAAGAAATATTCAGGTTTGGAAACTCGGGATGTTGGGTACAACACTAGAGTAAGTTCGAACACTAATATAGGCTTACCTATACCAAAGTCTGCTCAATATTCTATGAGAGCAAAAAAATGTTCAACCATCTAAGTAATGAACTACAGAAACTACAAACTATTTCGTAGGAGTGTTAAGGATATTTTGTTGCAAAAGGCTTACTACAGCTTGGAGGACTACTATAGTGACACTGTATGACTGTACAACCTTTTTTGTTTTTAAGTACTCTTTTCTTTTATCAATCAACGCTTTTATTTACATTTTATTATTTTAGTATAGTTTTAAGTACATGTAATATTGCTTGGATCGCCGTGCTATTTGTCAATTTTTTTTAACTTGTTTGTATTTGCATTGTACTATTGATGATTTATTTTATATTTTTCTGTTTTACTTTTAAGTTAATGCTTTGTCAATAGAATGTTTTTTTCTTGGATAATAAAGTATGATTGACTATGACAGTCCTGTCAAAGTACTGTGATGGCATGCGAAGATCAAAATTAATTAAATACTTTTTTTTTACAAAAGCTGAAAATTTCAATTGATAAGTATTTTTCTCGTTTTTTTTTTCTTGTAATAAAATTTTAACTACCATAGAGGTGGTATTTGGCTTTACAGGGAACCGTGATCAAATTTTGGTATGATATCTATATTCTCTTTTTTTTTCATGAATATGAAACTAAAACTTAATATTATTTTTTTCTACTGACGTTTCATAATAGCAACTTTTCGATTGTCATTTCAGTTTTGAAACGACATTCTTTTAGGCACTGAGTGCGTGAAAGTTACTTTTAGGCACTCAGTGCGTAAAAGTGACTTTTGAATGCGTAAAAGTGACTTATGAGTGCGTAAAAGTAATTTTTAAGCACTAGTGCCTAAAAGTGTCATTCATTATTCAGAAATAAAAAACAACACTAAACACATATTTGAATTTTGTTTTGTATTTATTATGAATATTGAAAATGGAATTACTGAATTGAACGTTTGGGTTACTCAAAACAGAACTTTGTGTTATTACCTACTTTCTAGGATTTTAATTATTGATGTCGAATTTTGAAAAGAAAATCGCATGAAAAGTGTCAGGTGCAAGTAAAAGCAGGTGACAAAGATTTTGGGTGTAATCGACTTATTCACATGAAATAAAATTGTGTTTTTTTTATTATAAAATGCCAGTAGAAAAAATCTTGTATACAATACGTTACGAAACGATGTCTTTTAGTCACTCGACGTGTTGTCCAACTCGGCTTTGCCTCGTTGGACAATTTTCACGTCGCGTGCCTAAAAGACGCTCATTTCGTAACTTATTGTATAAATAGCTATTTTATTTTGGTGTCATATCGAAGACTTTTCGACACTAAAAGTAGTTTCGAAAAGAAGCTCTTTGTGACACTCCTTTTTTACTTATCGGGGGTTGGTTACACTAGCTGACTGATGGCTATCGAACTGTCATTCGCGATTTTATAATAGAAGATTTCTATATTTGAAATGCAGTGTTACCAACTTAAACATATGAAATCAGGAAATATGAGAATAAAATTTCCAAGAAAAATTTGTTTTTTTTAATTAAACAATACCAAAATAGAAAAAATAGTATAAAATATTCGTTTCATAAGACATTTTATCTAGGAAAGTTCGCGCATTTCTCTTTGGAAAGTTTTTTTTGAGTGATCTCTTAAATGTTGTTTATTATTATTGAAAAATGTTTGTTAAACAGCACGAATAATAGTCCGAGATCCGGCTATTTGGACCGATCGCGTAACCACTTGAAATTGCAAGAATATTGAAGTTTTGTATATAGACTTTTGAAAAATGTCATGGTGCCAGTGAAGTTTTGGCCGAAAGAGCAATAAAAAAATTTATTTATTGCTCAATTTTTCAACATTGCTTATTTTCGAGGGTCACCAAATAATCCTTGTTCCGGAATATGCGCGGCAATTATGCGATGCGAAAAATGTATTGGTGCCACCTCCAATTTGGCCGCGGCACCAGCATGTGAAGGGGTAGTTTTTTTCAGCAAATCATCCCCATCACATATCCACTTGATCGAGGTATCTAATGAAAGGTACTGATCTATAGAATAAGAAAAACGAATGGTGCCACTTCAAATCCGGCCGGAAGTGCCTGGCACCAATGATTTTATGGGCAATTATCACGGAACGTTTTCTCGATTATTTTCGAATTTTCTACCAAAACCTACAGTATCAAAGTTGTAGAGAATTATGTTACTGGAACTAATCATCTAAAAAATTTGTGAATTCAGTTTTCTCTCGATTTTTTGTGGGCTTAAGTTTAAGTGTTATCTGAAACTTCACTTTAAGATTTATAGGTAATTGTGATAAATGAAGTCATTATTGCAAAATTGTGGAATTTAAATTAGAAGTTAAGTCAATCGAATAGAAAAAATTGAATTATGAAAAAATTCTAGTGTATAAAAACAAATTTTTCGCTCAAAATAAGCCATAAAATTTTCACCATTTATTTGTGAAGGTCATACCATTTTTATTTTTTCGGCATCGAGCGTGTCTTCAGTGGCAGGCGTTTTTTCATCTTGTTGAGCATTTTTGCGTCCTATGCGGTTGCGGAAGTCTAGTCCGGAATCAGTGGAACATTATCGACAGAAGCATTCAACGTTTCTGGCTGCAAACGTACTATACAGCATTTTCTGTGAAAAGTTTCTCGTATTCTTCTCTTTGCTTTGCCTTCACAATTCGAATTTTTAGAGGAATTTTTCTATAACAGGTCTCGTGATATCCAATATTGTCTGACGATTCTTGCGAAAGTTATACATCTCCGTACAAATAATGCTTCACTTTTTTCACATACGAAACACTTAATTCATTTCCATAAACTGAAGGTTAACTTCTGAATTTCATAGTGATTCCAAAAGGAAACTTTTAATTTTCTGTCAAAATAATTTTATAATACCTACCCTCCAATGTGGATCATTCAACATAATGGCCTTGTGGGGTTATGGCTTGTGTGCCTTCTGCCGGCCATATTGTTTGTCAAAATCACGTATTTTGAACAAGCTAAATACTAAAGACAAATTTATTTCTAATAACATTACGGTAGAGCGGTAGAAGTATAAAACTGCACAGAAATGCCCTGCCTGTGGCCTATTTTGCACCAAATTTATTGAAAATTATCAATTTTCACAAATTTTTTAGATGATTAGTTCCAATAACATAATTCTCTCAGGCAGTTGCGACCGGATTTGAAGTGGCACCATTCGTTTTTCTTATTCTATAGATCAGTACCTTTCATTTGATACCTCGATCAAGTTGATACGTGATGGGGATGATTTGCTGAAAAAAACTTCCCCTTCACATGCTGGTGCCGCGGCCAAGTGGGAGGTGGCACCAATACATTTTTCGCATCGCATAATTGCCACCCATATTCCGAATCAAGGATTTTTTGGTGACCCTCGAAAATAAGCAATGTTGAAAAATTGAGCAATAAATAAATTTTTTTATTGCTCTTTCGGCCAAAACTTTACTGGCACCATGACATTTTTCAAAAGTCTATATACAAAACTTCAATATTCTCGCAATTTCCAGTGGTTACGCGATCGGTCCAAAAATTTGCAGCCGGATCTCGGACTATAATAGTCATTATTAATTTTTCTGTAACCTGCCTTAAATAGCTTCTCTGCCTAAATGTCTACTAATTATGTATCAGGTAGAATTTGCTTCATTTTGGTGAAAAAAGAAATTACTCATCTTCATTTCTTCCTGCCTCTTCATTCTTTCTGGATTCCTCCACTCCAAACATTAATACATTGGTAGCTCTTTGCTTCAGGCCAAAGAAACGAGCAAAAAAAAAAAATATTTTAAAAGTGTTTAACGCTGTATCGCGTAACTAAACTAGCGGAAATTTTGAAAACACTTTCGCTCAATGCTTGTGGAACTGCCCTACAAAAATCAGAAAAATACAAACATGGAGCACCCTAACAATGCAACACTATACAATATGATCGATATAATGATAATAATAATAATAATAATCTCCAGCTTTCACACTCTTGTTATATAAATAAAGAATAAAGTATACAGTTGGCTTATCTAATTTTTTTTTTCAGTGCAACAAGGAGGAGACGCCGATAATGGCCAAACCAGAGGAGGAAATGGTGGTGTTAGAGGTCGTACAAACAGAAATGAGATTATTAACACAAAGCCCGACACGTGCAAAACCAAAAAGGGTAGTGATGGTACTGTTATCAGACTTAAGGCTAATTACTTCCAGTTAATATCAGCAACTAAGTGGGGATTAAATCAGTACCGAGTAGATTTCAATCCACCAATCGATGATACAAGAGCAAGAAAAAAGTTAGTTGCAAACGGTATCAGACCTTTCCACGTTACTGGTTATCTATTTGACGGATCAGTTTTGTATACCCCTAATCGCTTACATCCTGAGCCCTGTGAGTTTGTGTCGCTAGACGAAACAAGTAAGTGCACATTTTTTCAGCTATCTTAGAAGAGTAATTATTAATTCCGTTATCATTTTAATATTAATGACTGAATTTGAAAAAAAAAACCTAAATTAACCTCAAATTGAACAAAAATAAAAAATTAGGTTTTTTTCCAAATAACATTTTGGCCTAAAGTAATTTTTATTTCTAGCTCAGCAAAACATCAAAGTGGAAATTCGATTGGTAGGAGAGGTCCACTGGGGTGACTACCATTACTTGCAACTTTTTAATATCATAATTCGAAAATGTTTCAACTATATGAATTTCCAACTTCTGGGACGAAATTATTTTGACCCCAATCTCAAAGTTTCAATTCGCGATCACAATTTAGAGTTGTGGCCAGGATTTCTAACTTCAATGAAACAATATGAGCAGAACATCATGTTGAATGTGGATCTCTCGTTCAAAGTAAGTGTTGAATTTTGAATTTTATCTATTTTTTTTTATAAATAGGAAATAGTTATTTATGATATTATTGTTAAAAGTACATTTTTAAGGCACACATGTGAAAGTTTGCAGAATGAGCGAAGCGAATTCTGCAATTCACATAAGTGCCTTAAAAATACTTTTAACGTAAATATCATACAATATTTTTTCTACAAACGGCAATAAAAAAGCAATAACCAGTAACAAATTGGATTTTTAAATGAATAATAAATTGGAAGCATCTTTCCTACATAAAGTTATTGAGTTTGACATTTGTCAAAAAATCCAAACAACCAGCACCTTGTTTTACAGGTAATGAAATGTCTTATCAGTTTCTTGAAAGTCTGTCGTGGTCAGTAATGCTATTTGCAACAAAATACAGAAGAAAAAGAGGGCTGCATCGATCCCTTGAAAAATATAGATGAGGAGGCCAATCGGGCTACCTCAGTTGTTCAAATTTCACCATTAATATCAATGTAAATAACTAAAAATACAAACTTTTTTTGACGTTCGCTCTCAAAATTTGATGTTTCATTTTTAACACTAGTGCTATAAAGACTTTATGGCACTAGTGCGATAAAGTAACATTTTTAATGTACCGGGGGGATGTTAAAAATTGCATTTTTAACACGTTTGTAGAAAAACTCATTTTATGTTAGCAACATCTACATTCAAAGCCTCAGCATTTTATTAAACTTTTGTTATTGCAATATAAATATAATTTTTCTACAACTGTCAAAAAATGATGATGTTCGCACACTCATGACAGTTTGCGAAGTGGCACTTTTTTTCACAGGTATTGATTTTTTAACGTTCCCATGACGCCGTGTGCGAACTAGTTATTTCGCGCACACGTGCGCGAAATAGCTATTTCGCACACTGGGTGTCATGGTGACACATACCTGTCAGGAAATCAAAAATAATTAAAATTCACCTACCTTTGATTGAAAATGCAATTTTGGCTTCGAATGATTGATATTTAATTCGAGTTGAAGAAAAAATATTGTTTGCAACTCGGGCGCGAAATACTTTGGTGATCTCGACTATTTTTTTAACTCGGCTGCGCCTCATTAAAAAAATCAGATCTTGATCACCAAAGTAGCATTTCGCGCCCTTGATACAAAAATAACTATTTACTGTTAAATACATATCTAAGTAAGTAACATTTCAATCAATTCTTGTGATAACTAGGAGGCAGTTGCTGATAAAGCCAGCTTACTAGGTAACAATTCTGCCCTAATATAAAAAAACAAAAAACAGCAAGTATTGCTCTGTAGAAATTTTCTGTAACTGACGACAATAGTGACATAATTATAAACAAATTCATATTTAGCAAAAAGTTCAAAAATCATTGAACATTTTAATAGGGATGATAATTGACTAATAAATAATGTTCTTATTTAGGTATTGAGAACTGATAAAGTTTACGATCTACTCCTGGACTGCGGCTCCAGTCGTGATCCACGACAAGAATTCCAAAAAAGGGTAATCGGTTCGATTGTCCTCACAGAATATAACAATAAAACCTACCGTATTGATGATGTGGATTTCAAAAAGAACCCTGACGACACATTCACGAAACGTGATGGTACACAAATTTCTTACAGAAAATATTTTCAAGAGCGTTATCAAGTCAAGATCCAACATAATGATCAACCTTTATTGGTTTCAAAATCTAAGGCGCGTGAAATACGCGCAGGAATGCCAGAGCTGGTGGTTTTGCTGCCTGAACTCTGCATAATGACCGGATTGTCGGACAAGCAGCGAGAAAATTTCCAGCTAATGAAGGCTATGGGTGAACACACTCGCGTTAGTGCAGGAGGTAAGGATTTTGACTTTTCATGGTGAATTGTTGTAATTAGAATAGAAATTTTGATTTGAATCAAATTTTAAAAAAACAGCTTTATTTGGAATTCATTTCAAACTTGAAATTGTTATAAATTCAATTTACAGACAGGATGAGAAAGCTCTTGCAATTTGCGCAGCGCCTTCGAGCCTGTCCCACTGCTTTGGAAGAAATTAAGCGTTGGGACCTTCAGTTAGCAGACAATTTAATTGAATTCCAAGGAAGGGTCCTACCTGCGGAATCCCTTTTGTTGAGAAATAATCAGCCCATCCAAGGTAAGAATAAATATTATGAACTGTAGTGCGTCTGTGATTTTGGCTGTTAACTTAAGTGTCAAACTAATACAAAATATGCAGTACAAATTGCAACTATATTTCATTAGTTTGGAAAAAAAAGCATAAAGTCACTATGAAATATTTTTTTTTTTTTTTATCATGTACTTAACATGTTGATGGATAGTGTTAGCAAGTGTTGTGACACTCTATGTATTTTCCAAAGTAGAATAGGAGAAGTGCTGAATTAAAACATTTGGACGACGACAATCATATTAGGCCTGTTTCTGCAGAAATCACAGTCAGAATAAATCTTATTGGTTGAAACTAGTTTTCTGACTGTCTTATGTAAAAACTATTGACTTTTTATTATTATTATTAATACTATGTGTTTCAGTAGTGGGCATATTCAAAATCAGATGAAACTACTGAGTCTGTTGTATAGTCTATCGTTTCTCAAATGAGACAAGGCAAAAATTGGGGTCTCCTCAAATTATCGTATTGCCCGTTAAAATTATTATACTATTATTAGGAAAAATATATTGAGCGTACCTGTATACATTGGATGGGAATCCACTTGCGAACAATGCATCTTATTGGTTGTTTTATACAGTCAACGTTGACTCCAGGAATATCTTATTGGTTAAAATTTTTAGCGGCGTATTTCTTTGAAGTGGCGGCTTCTTTGGCGGCATATTTCTTTGTAGGGGCCGCCGCTTGCGAATCAGTTTCGTCTGGGAAGACAGTGCAGTAGATAGTTTTTATAAATTTGATTCCTATTTGAGTTGTATCGTGCCTCATGTTTTATTTTATATAAAACTGTTTTAATAAATTTCCCTTACTCCGCCGGTGCTTCATAAAGAAAATGCCGACGGCCAAAGAAATATTATTTTTTTTACTGTCTCATTTGACTATCGATAGACTATACTTACTACATTTGTCACTGTTTAGTATTTTCAATAATCACATTTTGATTGGTCATGCAGAGTAATGCACAAAAATATTGTTCCAGTCTTTGATATCTTTATCAAGGCGATTTTTGAATTAGTTGTTGGTTGCTTGCTGAGTTGGTATATATTGGTTAAGTTGCAGGCATAGTATCCATTGAGAATTTTGAATGTCTTCATAAGATCTACTCTAGTCCTGCGGTCCTTCAGTGTGGTCAGGTTCAATTGAGTCAGTCTGATTTCATATGGCAGTTCTTTAAGTTCACTGAGAAGTTTAGTAATTTGCTGTTGAACTCCCTCAAGTTGTTCAATGTCCTTCGCATATTAAGGGTTCCAGATTGATTGGGCGTACTCAAGTTTTGGTCGAGCGGAGGACTTATAGAATTTCAGAATCATCTCTTTAGAGTGGTCTTTGAATGCTGTTTGGATGAGATATGTCATTGAATTTGCCTTTTTTGGTACATCAGCCGTAATGTGAATGTGAGTATCCCATTTTAGTCTGCTTTCACTGTGATTCCAAAGTCTTTCTGTTTTGCAACAGTTGCTATTGGTATTTGTTGTAGAGTATAGCTATGACTTGGGTTATTCTGACCTATGTGTAGTATCATAGTAGTATAGTGCATTTGGAATTATTAAGTGGCATTCCCCACTTTGTTGTCCATTCTTTTATTCTAACTAGATCTTGCTGTAGATCATTATGTTGTAATAGTAGGTTACAATATAGGTTACCATCATCCACAAAAGATGCATTTTTTGTGGTTAGTAAGTAAGTGGTACAGATAGTTCAAGTACGCTAAAAATAAAAGGACACCGAGAACAGAGCCTTGAGCAACTCCGTACCTAGTGCTCCTGCGACAGGCTAGTACCAATTCGTACCTGGAAAGTACTACCAGACAAGAAACCTTCACCGATTAGCCAAAGTAAATCACCCCCGACTCCAAAATGCTGAATTTTGTATTTAATGTATTCGATTGGTATTTTGTCAAACGCCTTTTCGAAGTCAAGGTAGACCGCATCTATTGGTTCCTGGTTGTCATCAGCTAGTTAATGTCCTGTCGTTGAGCCTGGTTAGAAGGTTAGTGAAAGTGGATTTCTTTAGAAGAAAGCTGCTTGCTGTGAAGGAATGATCCTTGTTTCCAAAAAGAAAGATGTAAGTTCTTTTGCTATGATTTTTTCCATGCACTACACTGATCTGTAGTTTTCTGCTAATTATTTCCTTTTTTTTTTAAATATTGGTGTGACAATGGCTTTCTGTCAGACTTCTGGGAATTCCCCACTTGTCAATAAGATGTTCAACACATTCGCTAGGGGTTAGAACTTGCACACAGTTTTTGAGTAAAAATTGAAGAAATTTCATGCATTCCAGGACTTGAATTGGATTTCAATGATGTTATGGCAGCTTCCACTTTTTCTGGTGTAAATTCAATGTGATTTATTTCAGTTATTGTGTAAGTATTTAGTGGTAGTGTGGGCTTAAGCTTGTTTGCATCCAGAATAGTAAAACCACTCTCAAACTGTTGTGCGAAACACTCCGCGATTTCCTGATCAGTTTTAAGCAGTGTTGCAGTATCCTTATCTATTAAAGCTGGCATGCTTTGAGTTCAGCGAACGGCTTATGTATGAATAGAATTGTTTAGTGTTCGCTAATAGATTGTGTTCATAGTTTCTCCTGGCTAATACTATACAAGTCTTTGTTTTGTTGTTTTTGTTTTTGTGTTTGTTAAAGCCTCATAGAATTGGTTGAAATTTAACGCATTTGCCAATCTTCTAAATTCCCGTCCAAGTGTTTCATTAACTGCTAAAATTGCCTTTTGTAAATTTTTCTGGTTGGTTGAGCAGCTACATTTATTTGTGACTTGGCTGTGATTACAACATGGTCGCTTTTCCCCAAGGGTGCATGTGATTTGATATCAAAAAATAACTCATTGGCTATAAGTAGATCAAATAATGATATCTGGGTATTGCGGATTTTTGTTGGTAGCCCCCTATGGTTACTATGGCTTTCTAGGAAGGCTTGACTGCACTGGTCATTTGAATGGACCTCCAGTGTATTCCACATTGGTCTTTTTTTTTTGCGAAAAAGTGAGAGTAACAAGGTAGATGAATTAAGCTGTCTGGTATTTGCTGAGTTAGCCATGTTTCAGTAATGAGAATGATGCTCGCGTTAGTGCTTTGTATACTAACTTTTAGTTCATCGAGCTTGTTAGTCATGAAGCATGTTACTGTACCAAAAGGAGATTTCAAAAATAGTGGATATTATTGAGATACCTGATCTTCAAGGCAACCTCTCCTTTCTGCTTGCGTTCTGCCAATTCTTTCAGGATTTTTTTCAGGTATGCTCTTTGAAGAGGTGTTTGATCCGATTTAATATAAATTCCTTCCTCTTTAACGTTGTTTTTGTTTCGGAGTATTTCTCGGGCAGCAGCTACAGAGGGTAGAATTACACGGATTGGTCTTACTTTGCCCTGGGAATCTGCACCCAGTCGATAGACTTTAATATCAGTTTGCTGAATATTGTTACTTACTGATTTAATCAGTTTGTATGCTTTTTGTAAGTCATTTTGATTGTTGCTTTCTTTTTCTCCAAAGATCAGTACATTTGAAGATCGTTTTTGTCGCTCGACCATTTCGCAAAGTGTTGGCTCAATTGTGGTGTTATCTCTTGGTGGGGGTTGATTTTTACAATGGTTTTTTGTGTTGTGACCTCAGTATTAAGTTCTTCAACTTGCCTTTCTAGGTTTGTAGTGTCGGCAACCACCTGAGCATAACTTGCAAGCAAATATATACAAATATCTGTATACACCTTATTTGTTGACCACGTTGTGACACAACAAAAATACAACAATGTCTGACTAATGGCAGCCGGACGTCTACTGACGTCTTGTCAACCAAACATGCGTTACCCACCCTTCCTACTTCTAAATGGCCAATATTTCTCTGGGTGCATGGTGACAGTATAAATTTGTTCGTGTTCTGGACCTTTTACTCACTAATGATCCTAAAAGAAGCATATTTGATCTTTCTACAGAACCTCCCATTGGCTGCAGTGATCATGTGGCGAAAACGCATTCAAAAATTCCACCTAAACAAACACAGAAAATAAGTAGAAGAAATTTTCTAACTGCCAATTATGAGGAAATAAATAACTTCATCAGACTCCAACCAACAAGACAAGTAGGGCCACAATTCGAGAACTTTCAGTGTTATAAGAGATACAGTGGAGAAATACATACCTTTATTCAAGGAAATACATGAGAAACGTAGATTATGGGATAGCTATAAAACAAATAAACTAAACAATCACCGAACTTACATGACAGAGTAACAAAACTAAGCAGAAGTTGCTTGATGCCAGGAGAAAGTATGAAAATGGTCTTGCAAATGCGGATTCACCAAAAAAAGTTTTTAAGTACATAGGTCAAAACTTGAATTCCAAGGTATAAACCATAACTTTAAAAGATCTTGCATCTGAGCAGTTTTTGGATGGTGTAGCCATCGCAGACAAATTTGCAAAGCAATTTGACACAGCTTTTACAGCTGAAGCTTATCCGGCTCCAGCCCTGCATGACAATAGAGTGGAGAGGTCTATTGAAGAAATACAATTTAAAACTGATAAGTAGAACACTCTCTGAAATGTATGAAAAAAGACTCAAGTCCAGGACCTGATGAAATCCCAACAGTTTTTTTTTTCATAACAATTAGCCCATTGCTTGCGCGGGTGATGCACGAATGTATGCTTCAAACAAAAATTCCAGCACCTTCAAAATATTCCATTGTCACGCTATACTGTACAAAAAAGGAAATCGACATATTAATCGACATAGACCAGAAAATTATCGCCCTATTCAGTCATACTTGTAAACCGCTGAAATGTATGGAGAAAATTATAGTTAAGGAACTTATATCTTTCTTGCTAGAGAATAATTTCATACCTTCAGCCCAACATGGATTTCTACCAAAACGTTCTACCACTACCAATCTTTTGAAATGTCTAAATGATTGGACAAACAACCATAACATTGGCTTACCAACAGATGTTATCTATTGTTTGCCCAGCGGATCTGAGTCTACGGAAAGAATTCGGACGTAAATGTGCCATGTTGCCACGTTTAATTATGAAAAAGCGAAAATACTAAGCATGAAGTCTAGTTAATTTGAAAATCCGTTTTTTGATAACAAAATATTGATAACAATAATAAAACGCTAAATATTTTAACGTGGTTGTTAGACCTATCCTTATTTTAATCCTGATTTCTTCAGTTTGGTCTATTGTAAAAAATAAACATTTTCTAAAGATACCATCAGCTTTTGACAATTTGGCAAGCATCCGTCCTGGCTGAACCTGATTGGTGGAGTTTTTGGCAGGATCGCCGTTGTCATGGGGAACCATACGGTTGTCAAAGAGCTAACGTCACCTTACGTCACGCTATTGGCCAGGGCTGACGTCATTTTATCCTCCCATCTTGGAATATCGATTTATATTGACATATCCAGTGGCGGAGATTTGGTCATTGCTGATTTTCATGTACGAGTTGCAATACCATAACACTTCAAAAAAGTTCCGCACGCAGCTGGGTATTTTATGAATGAAATCAGCCATTTTTTTTACAACTGCATTCCCCTTACCGTTGCCCCGTAGACACAGACTCGCTGGACAGACATTATCTAAATTATAAAAAAGCATTTGACAAAGTCCCCCAGAGCTCTTTGGAGTTACAGAAAAGTTGTTTGCCTCGATCAAGGATCTACTAGAAGATAGAGTTTTCAAGTGAGAGTTAATGGAGAGCTTTCCAGTCCCCATAGGGTAACCAGTGGCGTCGTCCAGGATTCGGTGATCAGCCTGGTGCTGTTCACAGCGTACTTTTTTGATTTGGTGAAACTATTCCATTCGAGTGTTAAATTGTTTGCAAATGATTGCAAAATCTATGCAAATCCTTTGATAGATATGAATTTACTTCAAACTGATCTTAAGAACATTGATGAGTGGTCAAAAACATGGGGAATGAAATTGAACTTCTGAAAATGCACAGTACTAAGGATTGGCCCAAATAACCCTAACAAAGACTATATTCTTAATGACTCTGCTTTGACATTAGTAAATGAACAAAATGATCTGGAAGTTGTAGCAACAACCGACTTGAAGTGAGAGAATCACATATTTAAAATAACTAAAAAAGCTAACTCCTATGTATACTTAATCAACCATGCCTTTAGAGACCACTCTATTGAGATGATATCTACCCTCTACAAAAGCAATATAAGGCCAAAATTAGAACATGCTTATACTGTGTGGAATCCATATTACATTAAGGATGTAGAACTTCTTGAGAAAATTCAGCGCAGAGTGACAAAAATTCCCCCCCAGTTGAAACAGTTGCCATATCTGGAAAGATTACTCAATTTCAATTTGACATCCCTTCAAGAAAGAAGGCACAGAGGCGATCTAATTGAAACCTACAAAATAACCAGTGATCACTATCAGTGTAATCTGATAAATATTTTCCATCCATGTTGAAATCCTCATCTTTGTGGTCATTCTAGGATGCTTGAAAAAGAAAGATTATCAAAACTACCTAGGAAAAACTTTATAGTAAACCGTGTAGTGCATTCTTGGAATTTGCTTTGCCAAGATAGAGTCTCAGCACCAAACACTAATATTTTTTAAAATCGTGTAAACAGAGAATTGAAAGCATATTCATAAAGAATAATCCATAAACCAAATTTCACATATCCTTTTAAAATTTTGTTAAGGTAACAATAGCTTCATTGGTTTTGACCGCCTGCTATTGTAATTTTAATAATAATAATAATAATAATAATAATAATAATAATAATAGTATTCATATATCGTCTGCCGTTGTTGTGTCACAACTCTTTATTTTTGAAATGTCGTCTGTTCTGTCCATCAATTTGTTAATTGACTAATTAAGTCATGCTGCGCCCCTAGTAATCTACATTTAATTCAAATTCAAGCCAGTGTCATTGAGAACAACATAAATTCTTAACAATAACTTATCCACATAATGGTTGTATAGTAGTGTCTCAAAAGTTTTCATAAAATATATTAGGTATTATTATTAATGACAGACTAAATGAAGCTCGCTTATTTTGTATTGTCAAAGTGTTTGCAAACTGTCATAATAATATCTTAGTATGATTGCTATACTGGAAGTAAATTGATAATATAAAAAAAAAAATTATGGTATCACACAATTTATTTTTTATTCAGGCGGAGAAGAGGCTGACTGGACCAGAAACTTGCGTACCGCCCCCATGTACAACATTGTAAATGTTGACAAACTAGCAATTATCGCGCCAAGTCGTGTAGCTCAAGCCGCTCAAGAGTTTGGACAAATGTTGTCCAAAGTTGGCAAAGGCATGTCCATGGTAATAAATTCCAAAGTCTTCGCTATTTCCGATGACCGTAACAGTAGTTATATTTCTGAAATCGAGAAAGTACATGCTCAAATGAAACCTAGTATGGTTATGGTAGTTCTCACCAATAACTCTGGTGATAGATACAACTCTGTCAAGAAGAAATGCTATATTGACAATGCCCTGCCTTGCCAGGTTATGGTAGCAAGGAATTTGACCAGCAAGGGTGCTATGTCAATTGCTACTAAAGTAGCAATTCAAATGAATTGTAAAATGGGCGGAGCTCCATGGGCAACAAGCTTGCCTAAAAACACCATGGTTGTTGGCTATGATGTGTGTAGGGACACAGCACAAAGAACGAAAAGTTTTGCTGGAATGGTTGCTTCAATGGACCAAGCTTGCACTCAATATTACAGCATGGCAACTGAACATGAATTTGAGCAAGAACTGAGTTCAAACATTGCTAGTTTTATGCTGTTGGCATGCAAAAGATTCCAACAAATAAACAAGGTGATTCCGGAAAGAATCATTGTTTATCGAGATGGAGTTGGGGATGGGCAAATTCCATACGTCAAAGAGCACGAAGTCGATGTTATTAAAACAAAATTATCTGAAGAACTATACAAAAGTGCTCCATTAAAGATGGCATACATTGTTGTTTCCAAAAGGATCAACACAAAAATTTTCAGATCACAGGCGGGCCAAAGGAATGACTTCAATCCTCCACCTGGTACGGTAGTTGATGATGTCATAACATGGCCGGAAAGATACGACTTTTACATAGTTTCCCAATGTGTGCGACAGGGAACTGTTGCCCCTACCAGTTACAACATCATTGAAGATACGTTGGGCATTGACGCTAACAAAATACAAAGATTCACATATAAAATGTGTCATATGTACTTCAATTGGTCTGGAACCGTTAGAGTGCCAGCACCCTGCCAGTATGCCCACAAGCTGGCGTTCCTGACTGCCCAATCTTTGCATAGGTAAGGAAATTTTGTTTTTATTACATAGTCTAACTATGATGTAATGAACTACTAGAGATGTGTATTGTGGGTAGCAGTAACCCCATATAATTAACAGACTTTCTTTTATAATTAGTCCAAGCAATGAAGGAAGTTTACCTCAACATAATTAGAAGTTAACATTCTTTGGGGGGGATCGGTTCATTTTCATGTGCTTAATAACATATTAAGTTTGCGACCTTGTACTTCCATAGGGTTTTCAGTTAGGGGTGGTTTTTAGGGTTAATTTGCAGTTTATGGAGAACGCTGCTCAAAAGGATGATCCAATAGCAAAAAGTTTCAAATCAATGTTGTAGCTGAAGCTTTTTGCTATAAAAAACTCAGGGACAGCACCCTTCTATCTTCTATAGTTGTTTTTCTGCAGCGTCTTGAATAGTAGCATGTTTTTGTTCAAGGTCACTGAATCAACGTTTTGTCATTTTTCGCGCATTTGTTGCAGCAGCGGCCGAATGCATAACCCGATTTCAATTTTTCAAACACCACATTATTTCTAATGAAATGCACTCTCCAATGCTTTTTTGTTCGAATTTTTTGCTTGAAAATTAAGCGAGCACGGACTTGTCTAATGTGCGAGGAAGTTGTAAATTGCATCGAAAACTACCCCTTTCTTGCATTCACTCTAATTTCTAAACGGGGCCAAATATTTGGTGACAGTTTTCGACAATCGGCAGCCCATTTATTCCTCTCATAATGCCCCAGCGGACTTTTTTTTTCGTTAATCACTTAATGACTTATTGGCCTGAAAACGTCGCGCGCGAATTTTCAAAAAGTAAAAAAAAATTAAAATTGTCGCATAGCGCTGAAATTTGGTACGATGGCTTTATTTATTGTTCTCATGATTATACTGCAATTTTATATCATGTGAAGCAATTAAAATTGCAGTATATTCGTAAGAACAATAAATAAGGCCATCGTACCAAATTTTCAGCGCTATGCGACAATTTTATTTTTTTTTTAATTTTTGAAAAATCCCGCGCGACGTTTTCAGGCCAATAAGTCATTAAGTGATTAACGAAAAAAAAATCCGCTGAGGCATTATGAGAGGAATAAATGGGCTGGCGATTGTCGAAAACTGTCACCAAATATTTGGCCCCGTTTAGAAATTAGAGTGAATGCAAGAAAGGGGTAGTTTTCGATGCAATTTACAACTTCCTCGCACATTAGACACGTCCGTGCTCGCTTAATTTTCAAGCAAAAAATTCGAACAAAAAAGCATTGGAGAGTGCATTTCATTAGAAATAATGTGGTGTTTGAAAAATTAAAATCGGATTATGCATTCGGCCGCTGCTGCAACAAATGCGCGTAAAATGGCAAAACGTTGATTCAGTGACCTTGAACAAAAACATGCTACTATTCAAGACGCTGCAGAAAAAAAAATAAAGAAGATAGAGGGGTGCTGTCGCTGAGTTTTTTATAGCAAAAAACTTCAGCTACTACATTCATTTGAAACTTTTTACTATTGAACCATCCCTTTGAGCAGCGTTCTCCATAAACCGCAAATTACCCCTAAAAACCACCCCTAACTGAAAACCCTATGGAAGTACAAGGTCGCAAACTTAATATGTTGTTTAGCATATTAAAATGAACCGATCCCCCCAAAAAAATTTCAACTTCTAATTATGTTGAGGTAACCCCTCTTTTCAGATCTCCGTTTCTTGGACTAAATTACAACCTTTCCTTCACAATTTTTTTAAATTATATTAATGAGCCTCACTGGTTTCAAAGCTCATCAGGGGCAAGTTTGCTCAGATATTACAAGATTTTCATAAATTATTTTAATATAGTTTAGTTAGTTTGAAAGTTGAAACTGATAGACATTTTCTTCAAATTTAATTATAGGCTAGTTCTTATCAATAAACACTTTGTATCTTGTTTTGTCAAAAACTGATTATGGAGAAAAGCTTTACTGTGCAAATGGTTCTTCATAGAAGTACAAAATTATTGTGAAAACAGCCACAATTGGTTCATTAGTAGTTTATCAGAAACTTGTTGCTCAAACATGATTTTTATTTTCTCTCCGTTTCAGGCCAGCATCCTCGGCTCTCAGCAATACCCTTTACTACCTGTAAAGGGTGAAGGAAAGTTCTACAAAGTATTTCAGTATTTTGGGGAAAGATCCCCAGTTTTCTTTAGTTCTTCATAGTTTAGGGGTCTTAGTTTTTAATGATTTAAATGTTTCGTTCTGACTATTACATTAAGTATTGAAGACTACATTTTTTTATTTTTATTTTAGTTGCTTATTTATCCATATCATCTCAGGTAACACATACACAGCTTGCATTTAAAATAAAGACAATTATTTTTAGAAAGGCATTTTAAGTTTAATTTTTTTTTTTGTCTGTGAATTGTGTTTCTCATGACTGATCTGATACTAAAGAAATATTTTAGATCTAGTTCAATCTACCAATATGTAGGTACTTTATAAGTTTTTATGAGGAAATTACTTTTAATTTTTGGGACTTTTTATTTTATTTTTTCTTCTGGATTTATTTTCTTTTGAATTGATATCTTTTAAGTTTAAGTTAAATTTCCTGTTTGAGAATTCTATTATCAGACTTGCCGGGTGCAAGTTGTTCTTTAGGGCTCGAGATTTGAGTACCAAACCCCTTTAGTTATTTAAGATATTTGTGATACTGTTATTTTTGTACAAGTTTTGCAATAAAATGTTGAAAAGCGATAAATTCTGTTATTTTATTTCAATATTTTCCTACAAGCTACAAGAAAGTTCAGAATGTGCATCTGCGAACTATTTATAGTGCTTGGCAAGCAGAAAGCCAAGTGATTTGAAAAGTGCTTGGAGCACATTAAAAGTGCTTGGGGTGCCTTAAAAAGGTGAAGTTCTTTAAATGTGCCTAAAGGTCCCCTCAGAGCTTCCGTAACGTAAGACTTAAGCCGTAAGACTTTAGCCGTTAAACTTAAGAAAAAAATGGCAGTCAATTCAGAGCTAACTTAAAACTTAAGAAGTAAAAAATTATATTATATTCTTAGGTTAGGTTCCATATATATCTAGTAATTCAGTGCTGCCGCATCCGCCGATTTTGCGGTCAATCCACTAAATTAAACCTGTTTTTTCTAGCATACATGTATTAAAAAATATATTTGAAAAGAAATTTAACCACCAGAAACAAAAACCAAAACAATCAATAACCAAAACAAAAACAATCAAAAACATGTGGCCAAATGTCAGTTTCACGATCGGCCGCTTTACGAAACCTCGCGATCCTTAACGAAAACTTAAGCCGTAACGTAAGAAATGGAATTGAACCATTTCCTACGGCTTAAGTCTTACGGTGGCACTATGAATTGTCCTATTGATTTACATGGTGTTTATTTTTCTTAAGTCTTACGCTTAAGTTTTAAGTCTTACGTTACGGACTCTCTGAATCCAGCTTAAAGCACTCTGAATTTGTAATGAAATTCTCACAGTTGCAGAAACTACCGCATACACTCATGAATTGAATTAGTATAGTAGAGATGAATTTAAAATTTTACAGAGTAGCAGTAGTATTTTTATTTATTTTTTTTGAGATAAAGTGGTTGTTGGGAGTAATTCAGTTTTAAGGTTTTCGAAATGTTTGATGAGGGAAAAGTAAAAAAAAAATCCAGTGATCAAGTGATGTCATAATCAAATGTCCCACTAAACTTGAAGGAGAAAAATTGAAAACAGCCATGATAAATCAGCTTGTAGGCAAATGATTAGAAAGAGAAACAATTTTTAAAAAAACAAGAATGAATATGACTGGAGTAAATAAGGAGGAAGACAAAAATCCCCATGACGTTGAAAGAAATCTCAGAAAACAGAATATGTACAGGGTGGCCCAAATTCGAGCCTCATCATTGGGATCTCGGTAACCGTAAGAGATACGGGATCGGTTAAATTATGGCAAAGTTGCGCAATTTTATGGCCAATAGAGTGCCGTTTTGAAACTAGAAAGATTCCGAATACTTCCGGAGATATTCGTAAAAACCGAAATTTTGCAAAATCGTTTTTATTTTTTCCTGGGCTTATTTGAAGAACAATTTTAAAATAAATGTCACTTCATCATTGTCACTTTTTCTCTTTTAGAAGATGGTGCTACTAAATTTAAAATTCGATGTTTCGTCTTCAGGCGGCCATCCTCAACATCCTTTTTTTTTAATAAAAACCTGAATTTTTTATTTGCGATTTTGTCATCTTTCGGCATAAAACCGATACTGTTTATAATTTTTCAATAACACAGTAGAAAAAGCGGTCCGTATTTAAAAAAAAAAAATTGATGATATCAGAGGAACGAAATGTTGGATTTTAAATTTAATACCGCCATCTTGTAGAGAAGAAAAAGTGACAATGGTAATGTAAAATTAGTTTAATCTTTTTAAATAAAATCAGGGAAAAATTAAAACTATACGAAAAAAACATGAATTTCTCGTTTTTCTTAAATTTTTCCTGATTCCGTTTAAAAAGATCTTGAAAAACTAATTTCACATTTCCATTGTCACTTTTTCTTCTCTACAAGATGGCGGTATTAAATTTGAAATCCAACGTTTCGTTCCTCTGGAATCATCCTCAATTTACTTTTTTCAAATTACGTCGAGTATATCACTACGCAGTAGTTAAAAATCACTTGTATACTACCTACCTCATTATGGCCATTATAACAAGAATGATGGAATACTCATTCTAATGAGAACAAATATAAACTCTATTGTTTCTCACCTTAAAGTTGAAAAGTCAGAAATAATGATAAGTAGAATTACTTTTGAACTTAATGGATAGACTTATGATATAACAGCGGTTTATAAATCCCCTCAAAATAACAGTCACTTCTTTCAGGATCTGAATTAATATTATTTCTCGAATAATACAAACAATAATATTAAAATCTACACAGGAGATATCAACACAAACATCAAGGTTGTAAATGATACAACTGGTAGGTAATGAATATTTATGTCTTATGGGAATGGGAAATTATGGCTTCTTGCTTCATATACAATCAACAAGATTTAATACGAATTCCTGTATTGAACATTTTTTTCATAAACAATAAAATACAACACCTCAACATCGACTCATATGTCATAAATACCATAACAGATCACTATCTAATAATAGTATATTGTGTATTTAGGTAGAAAAGTGACACATTCTTGGCCGACGGTGTAAGTTGACGGGCGAGGCGTGGCCGAGGCCGGCAAACACCGAAGGCCGAGAATGTGCTTTTCTACTGAAATACACATACATTTTTTCTGCGATCGGTTAAATACCTGTTAAATGTTTGTCTTTTAGTTCCAATTATTCAGCAATACGAGAATCACTTTCCCGGCCTAGGCCGGAAAAGTGTTTCCCGTATTGTTATTTATTGATTCCTTAGCAACTATTGAAACATAATTGAAATAGGTACCAGAATATTGAGTTTTGCGATCTGTCAACCGGTCAAAAATGCTGACATTTCTTGTCAATCGCAGATTTTTTTTTTATTTTCAACTGTCTATGTAATATTGACATTAGAGACTTTTTTAAATCTTGAAACTGTCACATTTCTGTACTTTGACATATTATCGGGACTGCAATATATCTGCCTACCTAGGCAGGCATATCCGTTTCCGTCCCGATTTCCCTGCTTAGGCCAATTCACACTATTATTTCGTACCATAAAATTTTTTATTTTCTACTTAACTATTATAGATCCATAATTCCTAGGCAACGAAATACGTTAACATAGCTATAACAACTTGATCCATAACGCCCGCTTATAATACCCTGAGGTGTTTTTGTTGTTGTTGTTTTATTAATTTGCACTTTACCCTAGGCAGCCAGTAAATGTCTAGGCAGGATTCGAACCCGGGTCCCTATTCTTGATACAGGGGAGCAGTGTTCCCAGGAGAATGAGTGTTCTGTCTTTCCCAACGATATGCAATTGATAATATAAGTAACAAAGACGGAACACTCGTTCTCCTGGGAACGCTACTCCCCAGTTTCAAGAATAAGGACCCCGGTCTACCATCAACGTTTCCCATGTAGTCCAGCGCGTTAACCCACACGACCACCACCGTTGCCTTGCCTTATGAGATGTTTATAGATTTTATCCGTTCACAATGCGATGTCCACAGGTACCAGGTAAAATGATCACCTTTCAATGCTATTTGATAGGGAAAGGTGATAAACTTACCTGCACCTGTGGACATCGGATTGAGAGAGCTACAAGGTCGGTTCAATTAGAAAAAAGTTGCCTTTTTTGATGCTTATTCAAGATTTGTTTACAGTGTTGCCAAATTCCTTTTAGTTTATGAAATACAGGGTGATCTCTAAGAAACGCCCAAAAATATTTCATCAAATATTTCGAAAACTATTGATTTTCAAGACACAATTTAAATTTGAAGTTTTATAATTTTTTTCGCTCTACAACATGGCATCTTCAAATTTCAAATCCGACGTTTCGTGATCGACCTACCATCATCAACTTCATTTTTTTAAATACGGACCTGGATATTTCGTGCCATTTTTGGAAAGCGCCCTTCATTCTCTTTCTAAAAATGACATAAAAATTCCAGGTCTGTATTTAAAAAAATAAAGTTGATGATGGTAGCTCGATCACGAAACGTCGAATTTGAAATTTGAAGATCCCATGTTGTAGAGCAAATAAAATTATAAAACTTTCAAATTTAAGTGGTGTCTCGAATATCAATAGTTTCCGAAATAATTGATGAAATAATTTTGAGTGTTTTTTGGAAATCACCCTGTATTTCATGAACTAAAAGGAATTTGGCAACACTGTAAACAAATCTTGAATGGGCATTATATTTCGGCGCTTCATTCTTCATAGATTACTTCACTATGTAGTACCGCCTTGAGGTGCTAAATGGCGCCATAGTTGGACTTACCACCAACCTTGTCAACCTGACATTTTCACTTCGCTTTTGGGCGCGCTGAATGGCAGACGTAATTTCGTGGTAAGCAATTTTTATATTAAATAATACAAAATTTAATCTTATTAGACTTTTAAAGATGGGAAGAAACAAGCGTAAACGTTCCCACAGGAGATCGGGATCAAGATCTCGTTCGAGGTTTCGATCTACTAAGGTCAGCATTGACAAAGCTGTTTGGGAGAATCGTTTACAACAGCTTGTTGAAGAAGCCGTAGCCAAAGCCCAAGGACGTTCTCGGTCGCCTGTTGGACATCGTAGTCGATCTGCAAGGCGAAGCAGAATTTCTGTGAGGAGCGGATCTGTCTCTGCTGATGGCAGGAGACGTAGGGGCTTGGCAGAGCGTTCTCATTCTAAATCTAGATCGAGATCGCCACATTCTCAATTCTCCAACAAAGATCAATTGTCTTTAGAACGAAGCCCGGATAGAGGCTCGGCAATAAGACCTTTGGAGCAAGAGACTCCTAAATTAAGTGTCAAAATTGACAGATGTAATGACATCCTCGTAATAAATGAGGATATTGATCTAGCTTTGTTAGATTCATTGGGCGATGACCCAGATGCTAGTGCTCCGAAGAGAGCGGATTTCCATCCAGATATTAAAAAGAGATGGTCTAATATTCTAGCTAACGGTTTGGACAAACCAGTTAAGGAGGAGTTGTTAAAAAAATACCCGACACCTCAGAATTTTGACGCATTGACTGTCCCCGAAATAAATGGGGAGGTTCAACAAATTGTATCCTTAACTTCGGTTAAAAGAGATAAATACCAGGG